GAGAGAGAGAGAGAGAGAGAGAGAGGGAGAGAGAGAGAGAGAGAGAGAGAGTAGTTCTCCTGTTTTCTTCCTTTCTTACTCACACACACACTCTCTCTCTTTAATATCCGCCCCCCCTCTCCGGAAAATCTGCGACGGAGAAATAGGGGGACGTTCCATGCTCTCGGACTGATCATTATCATCATCATCATCACCACCAACGACAAGAAAAGGTACAGGATTGGATCTTCCCCGACGGATTCCGCCATATATTATATATATATCCATTTTTTTCTCAGCCGGAAGAGAAGACTTTATTCATGACGACCCCCCGGCCTTGATATCCCTCGGCTTGACGCGGACGTGGAAGTCGTGCTGGTACGCGAACCAAAACGTCCGCACGCGCCAGGGGTTCTCCTTGTCCACGATTTCGAAGTCGAAGGTCCGGACGAGCTGGGAGAGGAATTTGTGCATCTCGACCTGTTTTCTCGACGTCAGTAGCGAAACGGAAATGGTCGATGGGTACCATGGGGTCCGAGATTCACAACCTACCAATGCGATGTTCTTCCCGATGCACGCGCGAGCCCCGTTGCCGCCGAACACCAGGCTGTGCGACTCCAGGAACCGCGATTTCTCCTCGCTCTCGAGCCAGCGCTCCGGCCGGAATTCCTCCGCGTCGGCGCCCCAGATCGCAGGGTCGCGGTTGGCCGCGATCGCGCTGACGCCGACGCGGGTCCCTTCGCGCAGACGATAGCCGTCGACCTCGAGGCCGGTCTTGGGGACGTGTCGGAGGAGCTGGAAGGGGATGGAGGGGAACAGCCGGGTGGCTTCGCGCACGACGGCGACCAGGTAAGGCATCTGCTGAGTCTCGAGATAGGTTGGCGCGGCGCCGTTGTGTTCATCGTAGAAGGTGTCGACCTCGGCTCGGAGGGTCGCTAGGAACCGAGGGTCGCTCATGCCCAGGTGGTATATGCAGGCACGCATGCCGATGGAGACGGTGTCGGCGCCGGCGCCGCTATGGTAATGAGTTAGCCGTCCGGCTTTGTAGAATGGTACAATCAGCACAACATCGGAACTTACATGATGTTGCCGCATTCGGCCATAATCTCAGGTACACTGGCTGGGCCTCCGTCCTTGGCCTTCATGCGACAGAAGTGAGTCAGCATATCGTCCCGAGACTCGCCTTTGCCATCGGCAATATCGTCTAGACGGGTCTGAATCCGCTTGAGCGCCCATTTTTGGAATTGTTCCATCGGTGTCGAAGAGCCGAAAAGCGCCAGGAGACCCGCGACGTAACGATTGACGACAAGCTTGGTCTGGCCAGGGATGTGGCCCATGGTACTTGCCGCGATAAACCCCTGGAGAATGGTGCCGCGTAGATTTTCAACGTCGGCGGCTCCGGCGGCGAGGTGGCCCAGCCATTCACCAAAGGCCAGTTCGCCGACCACATCGAATGCGAGCGCATTGGTCCACTTGGCCATATCGGCAATGTACTCGCCACCGGCGGCACGCGTCGCGAGCTGCTTCCAAAGCTCATCGAGGCATTTCTGCACGTGTGCTTCGTACTTCAACACGCCGGTCATGGAGTATGGCGCCGACACACGCTTGCGGAGGAAGCCGTGGATATTGCGATCGGTGGTCTGGAATATTCCGGGCGCCTGGTCTGGTCCGAAGGTCCAGGTGTCATACCAGTCCGTCTTGGGCGCGTAAGCCCCGCCTGCACCGTAGAGCACCTTCGCTGCAGCCGCATCGACGAGCGAGATTTCGTCAGGTGCGATACGGACCACTCGGCCGTATCGTTTGTGTAGGTCGATGATGTCGTCGTGCCACCCACCGAGCATCAGACGCCGTGTACGCCATATACCAGTGATGCTCGCGATGGCAGGGCCGGGGATGCGTGCAAGCGGATGAAAGAATCGTCGATAGAAGAGTACGCCGACCAGACTGATCAAGAAGGTCAGAAAGAGGCTGCCAACAATGGCTCCTGTGGAGAAATTCCGCAGTTGAGCCACGATGTCGGCGATGGGAGCGCTCATCCTGACGAGGTTTGGTGCTTAGACACCAACTTCAATGCCTGTACGCTTGATACCTCCAAAAATTCCGTGTTAGTGATATATCCACAGATCATACGGTTGGTCGTTGATTGTAGCCGTATCAGCGGTAGCTTGCCCTTGCGAAACGTAAAGTGTTGATCGAGAACTTCGGAGCGAGCGGCCTCAGTCCTACTTATATATTGTCCAATGTCGTGCAAATTGTGTGAGTAAGCTCAAGTGATGTGCGATTGAAGGCGAGGGCGAGGGCGACGACCGCATGTCCTCCACGCATAGCTAGCACAGCTAGTCATGCATTGCTGCAGTCGCAGGACAGGCAATCATTCCGTTGGCTGTTAACGTCACCCACCACCACCCACCGGACCGACGCCCACGATGCTTAGTGTCTCGGAAGGAAGCTGCACCGGCGGTCCGAACGGCGTTGAGGGGTGGCCGAAGGGAGTTATCAACCCATCAGTCAACCACCTGGGAAGCGACGATCCAGTTAATGACACTGTTCTCGTCTCCCGGCCTTGATCGGCATCTTGTTTGAACCTGATTGTGCCGTACAGTAGTTCATGGGCGTCTGAGAGCAATAGCAAGGTTTCTTAGTGGATGAGGGCTTCTCGGGCACGGCTTCCGGATTCGGGCTGACCTTCAGGGCTTATGAACCACCAGCTTCGAGAAAACGTCCCACGGACCTCAATTCCTCCGCATTTCATCTTCATAAAACCTTACCTACCACTTCACATCACATTCATAAAATCTTACCTTTCCACAGGACCATCGTGTCTGGGAGACGATCGTCCTGCAGGACGACTGATTCCAGTTGGACGTCATCGTGCCGTCTCCGTAATATGAAACACTGCAGCTAGTCCTGAATCGAAGTTCTCGACTCGAGTCCTTGCAGGCGGAGAGTCAATACCAATCCTAAGAACGAGAGCCACGTCTGCGAAACGCCAAGTCGAACGGTATTGGATCACGAGGATCACGTTTGCTGCAGTACGGAAGGGCCGAAAATCCCTCTCATCCAGCTTTTCTCTACTGTCAGACCACAGATCCTCCATCCGTTCTGGCTTCGTACGGCTTCGTATGGCTTCGGTTCAGATCAACGGTGAGTCGGCCATGTGAGGACGGTCTTGTTAGTATGTTACCCTCTCTTGAACGCTTCGAGATATCACCGACTCCGACTCCAAGGTCGCCACCACGTTCATGGTCGCCGTCGCAACTGCTGGAACTCCTCTTTCTGTGCCGGGTTTTGGCGACGATGTTAGTGACGCCCCTTGTCACACCACTGGGTTAAAGCTCGTGGTCCCGTCATGACTACGATATTTAAATCACGAGATGCTGTGTTGAGGAATATGAGCTCGACTGCGAGCTCCATGAATCGGCTTGTTTAAGCCTGGTTGTTTTGAGCGGATGACCACCTAGAAGATCCGTATAGTCGATGGCGATTTTTTCGGCGAAGACGTCGGTGCCTAGCTGAGTAAAACAATCATTGTCGGCGAGAAAGTGATGTGCGAGCGATCAGCTATCTATTAATCTTTGACGTATCTAGTACAGACCGTCCTGTCAATGACATCTTCAATTTCCACCCTGTCAATCAGATACTTGGTGCAATTGTGGGCCACAGTCATTATCGCGAATTGATCCCACATTAAAAGATAGGTGTTAGTCCCGCAATGTATATCTCCATCATCCAGCACTCACGGCTTCGTACCGGGTTTATCGGAGCTGACCTCTGTCCTTGGTGACTACACGGACATATCAAGCTTAAATCCGAACTCATAAGTCAGTGGAGTCTCCATACCGTCTGCCTTCGCAAGACTCCGACATCCTCGGAACCGTCATGACGATACTGATCACAGGATCCAACGGCATCACGGCCCGCCGGTTGACGGCTCTCCTGCACCCTCAATACCCACTCCTCATCGCTTCCCGCTCAGTCCGATCAGAAGCGACCAGTCCACCTCGTGTGCGATTCGACTGGAAGGACCCGAAGACATTCACAAACCCCTTCGAACACGCACAGGCCCAGAGGCAGCCCATCACAGCCGTCTATTTGGTCGCGCCGACGGGAGAGCAAGACGTTACAGATGGCGAGCTCACATTCATCAGTCTCGCCGCCGGCCGCGGCGTCAAGCGCTTCGTTCTGCTAGGCTCCAGCATGGTCCCCGAGGGAGGCCCCTTCATGGGCCAAGTCCACAAGAGACTGCGGGAAATGAACGGTGTAGAATGGGCCGTGTTACGGCCCTCCTGGTTCATGGGTAAGCCGAGCGAGCACCACCGTCGTGGAAACGACCCTATATCAGGAACCGCCGTGAACTGATGCAAAGGGTGGACAACCCCCCTCTTGCCAGAGAATTTCTCCGAACAGCAACACCTCCCCACCATCCTGCACGAACGGAAGATCTACACCGCGACCGGACGGGGTCGACTTCCGTTCTGTTCCGCCGACGACATCGCCGCCACGGCTTTTCATGCCCTGACGTCCCCCTCGCCGCCTGATCGGGAATTCTTCATCCTGGGCCCGGATTTGCTGAGTTACGCCGATGTGGCGCGGATCCTGACGGACGTCATCGGCGAGGAAGTCACGCATGTGGATCTCAGCTCGGAAGGGTTGATCGGACGGTTGATGGCGTTCGGAGTATCGGGGGCTACCGCGGAGCTTTTGGCGGGGATGGACGAGAGGATCAGACGAGGCGCCGAGGAGAGGACGGGCGGGGATGTGGAAGATGTGCTTGGGAGGCCGCCGAGGTCTTTGAGACGATTTGCGGAGGACAATCGGAGCGTTTGGGCGAGGCATCGTGGGAATGTGTGAAGGCGTAACTGATGTTTCGTTTCTCGCGTCGAGGAGCTTACGAGATAGACATATCGTAGACCATGTCAAATGATTCAATGGGTATGTTTCTAGTAATCTTGTGAGTCGTACTAGGCCCAGGTGCCTATCAGCGAGAGGACATGTCGTAGGCATCCGGCTCGAGAGGTCAGAACCCATACCTGACACACTGAATGCTGCATGTCACGACCTCACGAGAGGGTGAAACGTCTCCCCTGGCTCGTGTACTTCCGATCGGCACACCGCATACAAACGGACGACCCATGTAAATGGAAATATATAGTCTCAGTTCATAAAATAGATGCTCCTATCTAGCCTCTTTATGACATACAAATCCAACACAGGAGCACAAGCCCGAGATCTTCGAGCGTACGCAACATTTCTACTCGTCCGTGACGCTCGCGAACTTCTCGTTCATCCGCTGCAGGAGCTCCTCGTACTTCTTGCTGACAGCCTCCTCACCCTCAGAGGGCAACTCGAACTTCATGCTTCGGAGATCAGACTGGATCTGGGAAGTAGCCTCACGGACCTTTGACCAGCTGTGTCCCTGGGAGATGGCCTTCTGGGCCTCGTCGTGGAAGGTCATCATGCCCTTCATCATATAGGCGGTCTTCCACAGAGGACAGAACTGATCGTAGTCACTGTAACCGTTCTGTTGCAAGAAGTCCTCCTTGATGAGAGTGGCGACGTCAAGGGTGATTTTGTCGCCGTCACCCAAGGCGGACTTACCGACGAGCTGCACGACTTGGTCGAGCTCCTCGGAGTCGGAGAGCAGCTCACGAATGCGGTTGGCGAATTGTGGGAACTCGGGCATGTGCTCCGAGTACCATTTCTGCAGAGTCATGGTGTATTTCGAGTATGAAGCGGAGGTGTTGACGGACGGGAAGTGCTTGCGCTGAGCTAGCTTCTTGTCGAGACCCCAGAAGACTTGCACGATACCAAGGGTGGAGCTGGTGACGGGATCTGAGTAATCTCCACCTGGCGGGGAGACGGCAGCAACGATGCTGACACTACCCCTGCGGTCTGGAGACCCAAGAGGAACGACCTTGCCGGCACGTTCGTAGAAAGAGGCGAGCTTGGCACCGAGGTAAGCCGGGAAACCTTGGTCTGCCGGCATTTCTCCCAAACGACCTGAGATTTCACGGAGAGCCTCGGCCCATCGAGAAGACGAGTCAGCCATCATAGCGACATCTTTGCCCTGGTCACGGAAGTATTCGGCGACTGTGATTCCGGTGTAGATGGAAGCTTCACGGGCAGCCACGGGCATATTTGAGGTGTTGGCGATGAGACATGTGCGCTTCATGATAGGTTCCTTGCGGCCTTCGAAGTCGATGGTGAGCTGCGTAGAACGTCAGTATTGAGATATATCAATGTATCAGATGATGTGGCATCTCACCTCTGGGAAATCCATCAAGACTTCAGCCATTTCGTTTCCTCGCTCTATCAAATGTGTCAGCTTAGCCAAAGGCTCCTTGAATCGAATATCACATACCTCCACAACCGACATAGACGATGATATCACTGTTGGAGAACTTGGACACAGACTGACTGATGACAGTCTTGCCACAGCCGAAAGCACCGGGAATGCAGACGGTACCACCCTGGACACAAGGAAACAAGGCGTCCAATACACGTTGTCCGACAATGAATGGGTCTCCAGAGCTGGTCTTGTCCGCAGTCGGGCGAGGAACACGAACGGGCCAAGGGTGCATCATGCTGTATTCTGACTTCTTGCCCTCGAACTCGACTTCCAAAATCTTCTCGTCCACAGTGTATTCACCCTTCTTCGCGATCCGAGTGATCTTTCCTCGCGCACGTGGCGGCAAGAGGATCTTGTGATCGCTGAACAGGGAGTTCTCGACAACGCTTCCAAAGACGTCACCGCCGGTGATGTGGTCACCGACCTTGAACTTGTCGCTCGGAGTAAAGTCCCACTTCCGCTTGCGGTCCAGCGCCGGAATATCGATACCACGAGGAATGTAAATGCTCTGGCTTGCGTCGCTGATGGCCTTCAGCGGTCGTTGAATACCATCGTAGATGGTCTCCATCAATCCAGGTCCTAGCTCGACCGACAAAGGCTTGCCAGTCCGGTAGACAGGGTCACCGACCGTGACACCGGCAGTCTCCTCGTATACCTGGATGGTGGCCTTGTCCTGGTCGATACGAATGACCTCTCCGACCAGATTTGCATGTCCGACTTTACATAATTCGTACATGGCACATCCAATCATGTTCTCGGCCACGATGACGGGACCCGAGACGGAAAAGATGGAGCCATTTTGCGGCTCCTCGTCAGACATGTTTGCGTGATTTGATGTGTATGGCGGAGCTGTGGCGATCAGATGGATAGGAGGCGTAGGTCGAAGGCTATTCTACGTCTCGCGTGAAGTCGTGGATGTCGTCGTCGTTCGTTGCGTATAAGACGAGAATTGATAATGCAGCTTCCAGAAGCTATGAACTGGTCGGTGAACTTGTCGGGACCGCTCGAATGTCACAGATGCAGGAGATGCAACAGGATTTGGCGAAGCTGATCAGAAGTTGAGAGGTGTCAGTGTCGACTGCCAGCTAGTCGACCTTCAATTGTGAGGTTGATATAGGCGAGAGAGACGAAGTTGTGAAGTGGCACCTACATGCATTGATGACAACGACCACGGCAACGGATGAAGCTCTGTTCATTGCCGCTTGTGATGGGAAGAGCCGCGCCGCCATCCGCTTCAACAGTTGCCTGCAGCGCCCACGCATTCGCGCAGCTTTTGGCGGGGGCTTGGCAGCAGTGACGCAGCTCCAGCGTTTCGAGAACGTTTCGTCATGGCTCATCCATTCAAGCCTGAATGGTGAGACTCTGGCTGTGATAGGCCATCATCATAGTCTATCATAAACATACCAACTTTTGAAACAAAGTCGTTATGGCAAAAAACGGCGCGACTATGAACGTGAAATTGCTCAGTAAAGACAAGGTATCATCAAACTACATCTATTGATTTCACTCCTGTACTTCCACCAAATGCAATATGAAAAGACACGCAATAGCCTCGCCTTTCGATGATGGGTGACTAAACACCCGAGTATTGCCACACCTATTGTCCAGAGAGGACGCTGTGAGTCTATTGGACTTGGCTGACAATCTCGCTTGCCCGGCTGAGACTTTCCACCATCTGCTGGCACTCCTTCCGCCTCTTGACGGTGAAGTCGCTCTCCTTGAGAAGATCATCCAATTCGTGAGTCCGGTACATTTGCTCGAGGAGTTCTCGTTGCATGTCTTCTTTGGAGTGTCTGTGGGAAATTCAAGTCAGTAGGGTGATTTTCAAAACCGTGATAATGATAACTTACTCAACGAGGTTTAACATGATTGCTTTGGGGACCATGTCGATCATCGTTCTCCGTACGATGTTGAAGTATGAGGAGATGAGCAATTTGATGACCTCAACCTCTTGCGACTCCTTCTCGCTCAGGGTACCACTAGCTTTCAGCGATGGCGGGGGCGCTTCCATAGCAGCCATCTTCTTCTTGTTCTTGCTGGCGAAAAATGAGCCGAAGAAACCAGAGTTCTCGCCGCCGCTGCCGTCCAAGACAGGGCTTGCAGATCGTGGTGGTTGAGCGCTGAGAGGCAGTGGCTTTCCAGTCTTAGGATCGACTTGTACGGGCTTCAACGCTTGATGCTTCTCGTTGACAATCGCCATGGCGCGGTGACCGTTCAAGAAGTCGGGGTGGCCGGTATTGACGTAGCATGCCTCCATAGCAACAAGATCGCGTACAAGCTTGTTCGTAGGCTCCATTGATTTCTTGAAGAAAGAGACGACAACGGCGTGCAGCTTCTCCTTCAGCAGGGGATATCTGCGGAACGTTGGCTTGTTGACCAATTGACCCAATATCCGAACCAATTCGTCGTAGATCAAGCTGACACACTTGAGGGACGGTTCCTCGAGACGCTTAATTTGTTGCTTGACGATGAGCTCGAAAGCCATGGTACCGACGAACAGTGCTGGTGATGAACCGGACGAGTTGTAAAGGTAGTATCGAATGTCGATGTCCTTGACATGGTCAAATGGATCCACTGCCTTGATTCCGTTGCTGTACAGTTCGTGGTAGACGAAGGCGATACGTGCACCACCGGAAAGCTCGACAGAAGAAAGCTCCGCGTTGTTACCCTCCAGTACAGTTCTGAAGTCTTGGGAGAATTCTGTGATGATGTTGAGAACGATGTTCGCAGGGTTGCCTAAGATGCTGTCGCCTAGTGTTTGCAATTCCGCAGTGTACTTTGCCAGCGAACCCGAGATGCGTGCCTTGATGTCAGGTAGTGTCTGTTTGATGTGCATCATCAAGATCAAATTGAGCTTGCGCGCCAGATACGGGGTACCGCAATACGATGACTTGTTCCGGTATGCCTTGTGGTTCTCAAAGAAGTTCTTCTCGTGTTCCAGAGCGTGTGATATAGCCTTCTTGTTCTCGATATCACGTTGTCCACGGTTGACCACCGGCACGTATCCGAGACGAAGAGGAATGATTCGACCTGCGAGAATATCGACGACGTCTGTGCCATCGTCCATCAAATCGACTTTGGTAAGAACACCAATTGTCCGTTGTCCTTCAGGGTCGACTTCTCGGGCGAGCTTTAGACCATCTGAGTTTGCCAAATCGGTGTTTGCGGCAGTAACTGCGAGAATGATTGCATTCGGCTTTGAGATTTGCTTGAGAACCATATCCTTGATCTGCTTCTCAATATCCCTTGGCTGGTCTCCCACAGGCACCTTCGTTAACCCGGGAAGATCGACCAAGGTGAGTGTAAGGACATTTGGCGAGAAGATTCGTAGGTTGATAGGTGCAGGAGAAATGCCAGCATTTTTCCCCGTCTTGCTCTCCGTCTCTTTTACGATCTCATCCCGAATCTTGTTGAAGTCGTAGAACTTCTCGCCCGGCACGTGTAAAAATTCTCCCCATTCTGCGCTGTTGGCTTGCTTATCTCCTCCTTCGCTGTTCGCAACTCCCTCGACAAGATTCTTTGGCGCCTCGCGGTTGATGAGCTGTAGGACGAGAGGTCGTCTCGTGACGATACCTGTGCCTCGTGGTAGACTGTGTATCGGTGAGCACAGCTATACGGTTCGTCCTTGAGCCAGTAGCAACGTACAAGTCTCTTCCAACGATGTTCTCCAATACCGAACTCTTTCCGCTCGATTGCGATCCTACGACGACAATCTGTGGAAGATCGATGGGGTTCTGGACCTGTTCGGTGAAAGCATCCCTTTAGCGCATGAACGAGGTCCGGGTAATGTTCCGAGAAAACCTACGCCGACAGTGGTGAACACATCTTGAAGCTTGTTGACAAGCGTGATGAGTCCCGGGTCATTCACGTTGATCCTATCATCATGACTTCTTAGCTCTCCTGTGACCTGGTCTCCAGCACCTTCTGGCGAACCTACGCATTAGGGTTTGTTTGCGCCATGATGTATGATCTCCGTTGTGCACGGAGTTTTGCTGGTGAGGACCTGCCTGGTCTAGAAGAAGCGCATAGAATGAAAGTCGTTCAAGGCATAAAGTCGCAAGTTGATATGGCTGGAAATCGTTGGGCAGGCGCAGTTGAAATGTATTCGCTGTTATCCTGCCGCCTCTTGACAGGGTGTAGATGTGGCTCGTGCGCAAAGTTCACGGCTGAGCTCTTTGCCCTGGTGACGCCCGAACTTGGACCCTGCAAAAGGTTGGACTCCTCACAATGTTCTCACGCGACTTTAATCGAAGTCCGTGATTTTGTCGTTATCAAAGCACTTCTCTACCGATCCCTTTCGACCATCCCGATCTTCTATTTCGATCAAAATACAGGTAAAACTTCACTCCCAAGCTGTGTAACTCACGTTATTCCAGCATATCAATCGCGCAAGCATAGACTATGTACAAAGCCACGACCGAAACCTCGTGCCAACTGTCAGGCAGCCACACACCGAAACGCGCGTCAACCAACGCATTCAGATGATGTGCAGGTCATAAAATACTTCCTCGCCGTTCAAGCGATCTGATTCAAACACTGCTTGCCTTGCATGGACAGCAGCTCCGAACATGACGTTTTTCTCTGATCTCTCACCGTCAAGGATTTGATTCTCGACAAAGCAAGCACCTCTGAGAGAGAATGTAGTATGCGGGGATGAAGACACCATCCTCGCACAGAATGGTGTAGGTGCACCCGAGATCACCAAGATGAAGTCTCCCGCATCGGCATCGGATGTGAAAGCTAGGCCGCTCAAACCGTTGGCTGTGACAATGTAGTCGTACCAGGCTGTAATTTTCCGCAGATAATCCAGAATGACTTCATCGACACGATCTTCTGGGATCAAAGCTCTCTTGAGAAGCTGCGGCAATTTGAAATAATAATCGAACTTATTGGCGTCTTGCAAGAGATGCCCTCGACCACTCAGGCCGTCATACGCCCAGCGCCAGAACACAGGACTCTCGATCATAGAGTTGGACGTTTCGCGATCGTTCGACGGGAAATGTGCGAGGTACAGCGCCTGCCATCTCTGCAGTGTGCGAAGAACTTGAGTCGGCATGTCACATCCCGGTATTTCCACCAAGCCGTCCGCGACCTGCACCACGCGATCCAGTATAAAGCCCTTGACAGTAAGACTTCTGAGATCGGTGGTTTGTATTTCTATTGGCACCTCCGGTCTAACCGCACCGTCGGCTCGATATTTTGTATTCCATTTGATGAGCTTATGGTACACTCGAAAGGGGACGGCGAAGTCCGGAACCCAAGATGGTAGATTGCGATTGTGAGAGCAAGCCTGCCCCAATATTTCAAGATTGTTCGAATGCATGATCAACTGTAGCGTCGCTTCGGCAAAGACGGTTTCGGCGCTTTTGTTATAGTCTGGTATGATGTTGATTGTGCTGGGCAACAGACCAAGCAATCCGTATATCTTGTCCCTCGGATCCCTGCAACAAAAGTCTCGGAAACTGAATAACACATCAATGAGGATGCGTTTCATTGACATCTGATCAGATTCTGCCCATCGGTCACCTTGCTTCATTAATTGCGCCATGGCCATCGGCTCAAACAGTTCCCTTGACGAAATTCCAACCTGTCGAATCCTTCGCTCGATTTCGTCGCCGGTTGCCGCCAGTATGTGCTCTTGCGCATTGTAAATAAATGTCCATACGGAACCGTAGCTTGAGCTGGAGGGACATGCAAATTTAACCCGCTTGCCAGCGCCGTGCAACACAATCCTATCTTTCAGAGCGATCTCCTGCAAGATCCAGGTACGCCTCCAGTAGGGAATGCCACTCAATTCGGCAAGATTTTCGATTAGCTGCAACTTGGAGGAATCGTAGTGGCGTGTCCATCCGGAATTGGGATCCTGTAATATGGAGGCCGACAGCTCTTGGAGAGCCTGCATACTTGCAACCTGCACCAAATTTGAGTCACCCAACCAGATGTGCACGAGCTTCGCGAGTTTGTATAATTGGGACATCATTGCCACCTGAGCATTGCGCTCTAAAACATCACTCTGGTTGATACAAATGGCATCGGCCCAGATCGGCACCACTGCAACGTCCTGTGTCGATCGTAAATGATTCAATGCAGCGGCAAGATTCTGCGTTACGGACACCCTTCCACCATTGACGACGATGTCAATCGCATCCCGTTCCGAGCCCCAACAATATGACAAGGCATTGAACTCAATCTCGTCGTTCAGAGATGCGATCTCAAGCGTACATTCTATGATGGCGGACGTCGTGCTTAAGATCCGTAACAAACGAAACTGCTGCCTCGAGGCACAGAGTGGAGAGTACAGAGACGACATGGCGTAGGGAGAAGAAGGTCGCCGCGATAGGCTTGCGGTGTAGCCATCGTGGCCCCCAGCAGGTACGCTCTCACATCATGTATTGTGCGCGTAGAGAAGGTTTCTCCTAGCGATGAACCGGACTAAACTGGCTTGGATAGGCACTTTTCACCGACCTGCAAGGCTGCGTATACTTTCCCATTCAGATATCTGGCCTATTCAAATGTGAGAAATGTCTCGGATCTTCTGAATCCATCTTGAGACCTCGTTTGGTGACAATGATGCTTGGGATCAGCCTGCCTTGTAGCGATTCAATTTGGCACATAAAGCGAGTGTCGGCGGATGGAAAGACGCCATTACAAACCTTGGAAGCTTGCTGTCTGGTCATGTTTCCAATGACTGCCAAATCCGGCAGGTTCCCCGAGCGAACCCTGAATCCGATCGCGTGTTCGGTCCGCCTGGGCGACGTTGCTACAATTAATTCGTGACCTGCATCAAACATTGAAATCCACCATTGAGCGACATCCTGGTGAACAAAACCCCAGTGCGCCGTCGATCATGCACGCTCTCACCACCGCAGTCGCCCTGATCGGGTGTCTCGCATCCTTCACCACCGCGACAGCCCTCACATTCAAGCTCCCGGCCAACGAAAAAGAGTGCTTCTACGCCCACGTCGACAGAGCGGAGCGGAAGCTCGCGTTCTACTTCGCCGTGCAGAGCGGAGGAGATTTCGATAGTACGTCCATACGAACAAATTGAGGGGAAAAAGAGAGGTTATGGGACTTGCAATACTGATTGGAGGGAACTTCTAGTCGACTACACTGTCTTCGGCCCCGGAAAGGCACCCGGCCAGGAATTGACGCTGTTCAGCGGCGAGAAGGAGCGGCAGGGAGATTTCGTCTTCACTGCGAATCAAGTTGGAGAATACCGGTTCTGCTTTGATAACACCATTTCGACCTTTTCGGAGAAATTGATTGATTTCGAGATTTCGGTGCGGACGACACTTCATGGGATTTTCTAGCTCTTAGAACATGGGGAAGCTGACTTATGGATCCCTCCAGATTGAGCACGAGGAACGCGCGAGTCTGCCTCAGAAGGGTGGAGCCAGCGCAGAGCAGCTCAGTAGCGTCGATGAGAGCATCATGCGCATTTCCGGCCACGTCTCGGTTCTGACGCGACAGCAGAAATACTTCCGCACCCGTGAGAACCGCAATTTCAGCACGGTCAAGAGCACGGAGAACCGGATATTCAAGTTGAGCTTGATGGAGAGCGGGATGATGGTTGCGATGGCGGGTCTGCAGGTTTTGGTGGTCCGGTGGTTCTTCACGGGCGGTCGTAAAGGTTTGTTTGGGAGATGCTCTTTCGGTGATATTGAGAAGCTAACGGTATTATCGCAGGTTATGTTTGAACTATCGTGTTTCCGTTGTGTCGCTCCGATACACGATTCTTATCTTCATCGACGGCTGTATTCCATGATGACAAAATGAGCATTAAAGTTCCAAATTCCCAGCCGACGATTCTCCATCTATGAAGTATTTTCCGGGTTGTGCTAATCTGTCTAGTGGCTGGCACGGTTCACCGCGCCTTCTGCAAAATACCTACCAATGAGATCCACGCGCAGGCAATTTATCTCCTCATCAATCCTCTCATGCGAGGATCTGCGAGATATTCCTCACCATTGGGTAGACATACGACCCATTGGTCATAGCATCTTCGGGTACATACCACCTCACTGTATCACATTCGTCAGCAAGCATATCCCTCTCCCACAAGAGCACAAAGAAGGGGAGAGAAGAGGATACTCACAAAGCATATAAAACGAATCCTCACTCGGCAACCAATTTCCCGTCCAATTCTTCGGCGGCGGGACCCCCTTCCTCTGCAGCAAAACATCAAACGGGCCATCCCTGGACGCATTCGCCTTGGGACCATAGATATATCCCCCATCGCGATACGTCATGTCGTACGTGCGGTCCCCGGCGGAGAAGCGATTCAGGCTATTCCTCACGAGATTCCCATCACCGCCGTAGACCGACAGACTCCAGAACCCATTCTTCTTGAGCTTCGGTTTGCCCCAGAACGTGAACAGCCAGCTCCCGTTCGCAGGGATCGGATAAAAACTGTTGAAGCCCACGCCGCGGTAGCCCGGATACAGCGTCTGCGCGGCCACCTGCAGCTGCGGCGCCGAGAGCTGCACGTAGGCTTGCGCGGCGTAGTTCCGCCCGTAGACGCCCGCGTAGGATTGCTTGAGGAGGTAGTAGTCGTTGCCTTGCGGGCGGGTGTTGTTCGGGTTGTTCACGTCGGCGGTGATGGACCGGTTCGCGAGCGCGCCGGCTTGCGTGAGGTTCACCCCCGCGGGAGCCGTGTATCGGTCGTTGTAGAGGCCTGCGAGGGAGAGGATCGTCGCGACGCGGTACCGGTCCGAGGACACTAGGGGTTGGTTGTAGGGGACTACGCGCGAGGCGAAGGCCAACTGTTGCGCCGGAGACCGGATCCCTAGGAAGGAGCCGTTCTGTGCGAGACTTTTGAAGGACGGGGCGGGGTTTTCGGTGTTGTACTGTGGTCTGCGGTCGACGGGAGTGAGGGATGAGGCGTTTTGGAAGCCGCGGAGGGTATTGAGTTCGGCGGTCGAGTTGAAGATCACCTCCAGACGGACGAGCATGGTGCCGTAAGAGCCGGGCAGGCTCACGATGCCCTTGTAACAGGAGTTCTTGAGCGTGCTGCTCGAATTGTCGAATCCTACTGCGTCTCCAACGTCCGCGGCGCGACGGATCAGGTATTTCCCCGGGACGTTGCCGTTGACAATGCCGATGTTGGCGAGTTCGTTGCTGAAGGCATCGTAGACGGGATAATTCCAGTAGCGGTCGTCGCCGATGGCAGGGATGACGAGCTCGACGTCCTGCGTGGAGAGATCGAGGACAACGCGGGAGTAGAGGGTGTCGACGTTGGGGGTGAAGACGCCGCCATTGTCTGGGGAAGCAAGGTTACGTTGGTGGAAGAATTCATTGACGGAGGCGTTCCTGAGGACTGCTCCGGCGAAGTTTGCTAGGAATGCTAGAGGGTAGGTGTACTAGAAGTCACTTCGGGGTTGGTATGACAAGCTGATGGGAGATGAGACGACGTACGATGATTGCCCATGCTGATGTCTCGAGTGTGTCCTTTGGGAAGTCGTTCACGTTGATGATCGCGGAGGAGTTGGTGCTGGTATCATTAGCACCGAGCACCCCAGTGGACTGCTGCAGGACGCAGATCGCGAGGCATGCGATCCACGATTTGACATGCATATTGACGGTACACAGTTGTTCTATCAGTCCGAGGAATCCGTTTGCAGCAGGATTGGCAACGCATCACGATTGTAATCGCCCGGCTTCTCGTGATCTTTTATAGTGGTACCCAAACGCCCATGAGTGTTCGCAATGCTTCCTGACATCTCACCGATGCCATCTCCATACCTAGGTAGGCAGTTCAAGAGTCTACTAGCGCCACCGCGTTCAAGCCAACAATGTCGCCATAAAAAGAATCAATGGCGCATGGCGATCTAGAATGCACGTGGGAGCAAGCCACATGCAATCGAATCTGCGTCGCCGCATTCCTAGATCTGTATCTTTTCATCTGCCGTGAGCTCAATCATGTGCTTACACCGGAGACATCTCCCCATGAGGCGTATCGTTTCTCTCCAGTAGTAGCAGAACTTTCGTAGGATTCGAAGCGATGACAGAAATCAACTCGCACATGCTTTCTAGATCTACGAGATACATCCATGGCTGAGCCGCATCCCTCGTGAAGTATGGCGAAATTTGCCGAAATGCTGCATTTCGCATCCATTGGGAACGACGACATCGGCGCGCGGCGCATCGGCATGTCTGCCGACCAAGTTCCCGCGACTGTGACGACGATCGGAGGTCGCTCCTATGTATAGCACGGTTCATGCTTTTCGAATTGCGCTTCCTACAATTGATTTCTTCGGTCGGAGCCTCGCTTATTTTTTTTGCTTCAAGGTCGATCGGATTAAGCAATCACTTGTTTTCTTCAGTGACATTCAGTCTATTCACCAGTCGCTTCCAAAGTTCAGACGTGAGGAGACATAACGATACAAATGACGTCATGACGCTGAAATCAATACAGCCGCCAGGCGCGTCTCACTCACACTGACTCACGACAGCTCACGAAAGCAGAAAGGTAGACTTCGACTTTGGCGCGCGCAAGGCAGCGGCTTTACTTTCTTCTTCCTCTTTCTCCTTCAAATTTCCTTCACGGATAATAATACAACCACACCCGTATTCACGAAGAACAGTATCTACCATAATATCAAAGAAACCATAACCTCAAGAACAAAGAAACCCCACCATCCAACCGCAACAATGCTCTCCGCAATCCTCCTCGTCATCATCGCCATCTTCCGTACGCATCCCTCCCTCTCCCCAAAGAAACTCCCCGATGTGTCCACCGCAACTGACGTCTTTCTCTTTCTCCTTCTCCAGTTCCACCGGTAGCAGTCTTCCTCATCGCCGGCTGCGGCGCCGACCTGCTGATCAACATCTGCCTGACCATCTTGGGGTACTTCCCGGGACACATCCACGCGTTTTACTTGCTGTACGTCTACTACAAGCGCAAGGATCACGTGACCAATGGCATCGTCGACACCGCGCCTGCGCCGGGCGTCTACTCGGATCGCATCCAGAGGGGCGGGGAGACCACCTACGGGACTGTCTAGAGGGTGATTTTAGTTGGAAAGAGGAGGGAGGAAGGGAGAAGAGGAGCGCAAAAAGGAGATTATGAGGAAGTTGAGAAAGGAACGAGAAAGGCAGTGTTGGTGAAACCCACAATATTGTATAAGGCGATGAGGGGGAATGCGAAGCAGGATGGCAGGATCGGAGTTATTTATTTTCCTAGAAGAAAGCCAGAAATGGCCTACCAACAGCATTTCCCAAGTGAGAAAATTTCATCATGGAACGTCCCATTTCGAAAAGCAATCACGCTTTCATTTCCCCGGTAGGAAGACAAGTCGCCTGTCCACCGGGTGCTCCTAGCGCACAAACAAAAGAAAAGCTTTCCATTTCAGAAACCTCACCCACTCATCCACCCATCCGTCCATTACGCCATCCATGCCCGCAGCGAAGAAAACCACATCTCAAACCCCCCCCCCCCAAAAAGCCCTGCCCCATTTTCCCCTGCCCTCCGCAGCAGCAAAACAGAGTACGTCACTCCCTCCAGTCCCTTCCCAACAACAACAACGACGATGAAGATCCTAACGAAGGCCAAATCGTCCCCTTGCTCCTCAGCGAAGTCGGGATCGGCGAGGCGGTGGCCTCGTGACCGTCAGGCGTTTCCTGCTTCAGCTTCAGCTTCTCGTCTTCGAATCGTCGGTAATTGGCGCGGATTTCGTCTTGCCAGAGATCGGCCGCGGCCACGGCCGTGGCTGTTGCGGGGTCGAGAGGAGGAGCTGTTGTTGTTTTAGGAGGGGGAGGAACAGACGGAGGCGCGGTGGGGGATGATACGATAACTGGAGGGTGGGGTGGGAGGGCGGCGCTGGTGCTGGGCATGGTGGGAGAAACGGGAATTTTCTTGTTGTGAGGAGAGGATATTGTAGAAGTAGTTTCAGTGCCCTGTGAAATTGTGGGTGGAGAAGTGATGTGATGGTGGGTTGGAGGGGAGGTGAGGATGTGAAGAGAGAAAGTGGAGGCGTGACACTCTTCTTGGAATTCGTCTGCGCTGTTCAAGGCATGGTGGTCATCCTCGTCGGGTTCGGAAACAGCAGCAGGACTGCCGTGGCCGCTATCTCCGAGCGAAGAGAGACGATGACGATGATGAGGAGGATCACGAGCTGCATCGGGATGGAAGGCGGGGGCGTCGAAATCCCTATTCTGGGAAATATCGACAGGGTGGTTGCTGAGATCGGAGCCGGGAGCGACGTTTTCTTGTTCGCCCAGCGAAGCTTTCATACTCGATGCGCGAAACAGGCGGAAAGAGCTGAAATTTCTGCGTGAGGACTTCTTCTCGAGGACCGTGTCGTCGGTGTACCTAGAGACGTGTGAATCCAAGGAGTCCACCTTTCTCCTCGTGGCTGCAGATGACGAATCGATGGTCTCGTTCTGATAGGATTTTGGTTCGAGGGTAGAGAGGGCTTCACGTGAAGCAACGCGCGAAATGCGCAGAGCGTCGCTCGTCGCGCGACGGGTGATGACTTTGCCGAGACTGCGGCGTAGGCGAGGGAGGATTCCCGGTTTTTTGATGTCGTGTTTTTCGTCGAGAGCATCGAGGTTGGAAGTCAATCGAGTGTACGGGCCGACGATAGACAGGGATGAGTTGTTCGATGATCCGGCTTTGCTTCGTTCGTGGGGTCGACCTCGTGAAAGAGTTGGCGAAGAAGGTAGAGAAGAATAATTTGTGTATGAATCGGTCGAAGAGGATAGAAGCTGACCTGTTCTGGCGAGGTCGACAGGTGAGAGCGTCAAAAGCTCGGCAGCGGGCGATGCCCACGGTGTGCCGGCCTCTGATGCCGAATCGAGTTCATTGCGGCGGTTGACGTGTGTCGCGTCTAGGTCGATGATTGAATCGTCATTCTCCTTTAGATTCTGAGCTGCGGCGAGCAGAATGGCTGAGGTACTGCAAGGTGACCTTGAAGCCGAGTTTTTAGAGCTGGCATTGGCAGTCTCGATAGAAATAGGCGTCAGCTCGCGCTTGGCATTAACGGACACTTCTGGGAGAGGACAGTCGAGAAATGGCAAGGTCCCAGGAGCGCTATCATCCCGCGGGCGCTTGATCGGTATCTCTTTCACAGGTTGCGTCAGATGTCGCCCTACACGATCAGTGTCGGGAGCAGCTGGGCTCTGACAGTGATCAGGACGCCGCTTGACCGTCAACGGCAGCGCACAGCGAATGACAATCTCATATCGTATCGCATCGGGGAAGTGCTTCACAAGAGTCGTCGTCAGTTCCAGCGGCATGGTATATACATCATGGCGCTCCGCACCGAGGGCGCCAGCGAGGGCACGAGGGACATGCCCGCGAAAGGATTCCGTACTGGAGTCCTAAGCCAGCCAGTCGCACGAAGGACCGATGTAGTATTCAATGTCGACGTTGGACATGTCGCAGAATGGCCGAACGGAGCTGATACAGGGTTGCAGGACGAGTTCGGTGCTCTCCCAGATCGTGTTCCGGAGATGCTTGAAATTGACCACGGGAGGGTGCCAGCCGTAGTGCAATTCCACGTCGATGCCAGTGGTAATAGTCGGCTGTTGGGGGACGTTGAATTTTACTTCCAGTGCAGGAGCGGTGCCAGCGTTATAAATCCAGCATTCCCGTGTCAGGACGAACTCTTCAAGCGCGTCGAACAGTCCTTCACAAGACCGATTCGATATCTCTGATTCCCCATAGCTGTTGCGGAAACTCTCAACCATGTCTCGAACAAGACTAGAGACGGTTATGGTGAGCGGTTGCTTGCCCAGATCTTCCAAATATGTCCGAAACGTCTGTAGTAAGTAGGCAATCTCGATGGTATCTTCGTCACGAGAAGGGGTCAGCCCATGATCGTACAATTGGAGGATTACTCATCGACTGCACATACCACCGGTCGAGCAGAGATCTTCCGTGAAAGCCTCGATGGCGACAAACATCGTCTCTTGCGCGAGTGCATGCTCAAACGCCTTTTCCCAGAAGAAGATCTGTTGTGCGACTCGCGATGATGGAATCCTCCACGTGCTGACGATGTCGCGATCATAAACGATGCCCTGTCCGGAGCCGACGGCGCTACTGGACACTGCTCTTGGGACCGCGCCGTCAGGCATAGCGGCCGCCATGCAAGCGTCGATAGGAATGTTCTTGCGTCGTACTGCGCCGGAGCGATATGGACGGTGGAATGGGTGGTAGCATTGGGTAGGTTCCGTGCGGTGAGGACCACAGCCGCCCGAGACTTGGATATTGATGTTGGAGAAGAGGAAGTCGGTAATATTGTCAGGTGAAGATGAGATGTAGTTGACGAAATCGGTCTGGTCAATCCGTCAGTCTAGATTCGTGCCATGTGGCTTGTCCATTTGAACGCACTGGATCTGCCATGATTCGTAGAAATGTCGAATATCGATGGACGCCAAGTTGCGCAGATCTCGTTATTGTTGAGAGCAGATATCTCAGTAGGCGAGGGAGATCTTCAAAAACGTCTCGGAGGTGGAAGTGGGCAAGCGTTGCTCATGAACTAGAATGGTCTTTGCCTGAAATCCGTGCTTGCTGCTTGAAGATGGTTTTCCTTCTTTGGCAGTCGCGCCATTGTCGCTTTCAAATCCCGGAATTTTATGGATCGTACGCGGGCGCATTGACGGGTCACATTCACACAGCGTCCATCATCGCTCTCGTACTCAGAACCTCGTTCTTATTCCCCAACCTCGAAATTTGCAGAAATGCATCGGAACCATATCCCTCCAGACTATGCAATTCCAAATTTCCCGCCCAGTATTCCGCATAGATCCTGCTCATCGGCAGACCGATCCCAAGCTTTAAATCTGCGGACCGCGCAGTGATCGGCGACAACGAATCAGGTTTGACATTCTCCTTCTGCTGGGAGGTTTGTGTCACTACATCCTCCGGTGTCGCCGCGAGACGGGGAACTTGGTTGAGGTTGCGAAGGCGTTTGGACTTGCGTGGACCTTTGGCGAAGGACCATAGATAAGGGAGTACCTCTGGATCGACGCCGCCGGCTTGGTCGGATACTCGGATGATGATGTGTTGAGGAGCTTCGCAGACGAGGACTTCGATCGGTGGAGGTTTGGTCGAAGGAGATGCGGGACTGAAAGTCTCAACGGTGCTCTGAATACTGTTGCGGAGGAGTTCCCCGATGATGTATTCAAGATGCGATGGAATATATGGGAACGTGATATCAAGATGGCCCTTGACCACAATCTCTGGCAACACTACATCCAGACCATAGGCTTGCTTGGTTGCGGCTCGCGCGATCTCTGCGCATTTCTCAATCAATTCCCGTGCATTGCACCGGAGGAAGATTTCGCCTATGAAGTCATCCTCAGGAGCCATCGGGGACTTTTTCGCATCTGGAAAGTGCCATGGCGAGTGGAAGGTATCTGTGAGAGCTAGATGCTGTTCGGCGATGACTCGCCGACTGATGCGTGACCGTAACAGAGTGTTCATGAAACGATCACATTGCTCACTTTTGACTGAGCCTTGAATCTCGAGCACGCCGATGGCCAAATGCGGGATCACTGTCAGATGCTGATTTAGCGTCGTTTTGATGACTTGGCAGAAACGGTCGTTGTCGTCAAGTGTACGGATCTCTGGAACTTTTCGGAACTGTTCGAATGCTGCGTAATAGAGCTCATAGACGTGTCCGATGTGCTTGTTGGTCAATGCCTGGTAAGGCAAGGTCTGCATGTCTCGAAGACGATGAGCGATCCTGGTCGGCAATTCCATGCGGACGTAATTGGCTGAGCTCAAAAGACGTGCTTCGGATAGCGATCGACCGAAGAAGGTCAATTGGCGGAGGCTGATGGGATGTGCTTCCCGGGCGACCCATTCGTCGAGGACTGTCGAAGGTCTCCATGGAGGAGGTACGGAAGGTTGTGCAGAGGCATCAATCGTAGACGCATTGATCGCATATGTTCTTCTTAAATTTCTTGGATTATTGAATCTCCGCAGTAGACTATGTGAGCGCCTCAATGCCTCCATTACGTAGATTTGATATGCGTGTGAGATCGTTCGGATATGTCGTGTTGAGAGCCGTTCTCGAAATCGTGTGACGAGAATTCACGTGAGAATAAAGCGATGATGAAGCTGAATGTTTGGATGTGAATGGTCTTTAACAGGCCCAGTGAGACATGTTGTTACCTAGGTTTCTAGTGATAATCGCAAAGGTCAATGATGATAGAAATGCAATTCAAGCCGGGCTAGAGTTGTTGCGAACGGATAACATATGTCGTTTAAAATGTCCACAGCATTCAATTATTTTGCTGTTGTCGGCGATGGTCAGGAAACGGTCACGCGACACGCTTGCTGGAGAGTACAGGTGAAGGTTGTTGTGCATTGCTGAAATTGACTCCGACACTAGTATATTGGGTGAGAAATGCTCCGTCGATATGCGGGAGATATTGTTCCATTGATTAATGGCTCAATGCTGTGGGCCAGTCTTCGATGTTTTGTTACGGGATTTCTACTTGAATTCTGAATCGCAACGCAAAGGAATCTCCACAGTGAGAAGTACTACCGGAGAATGATATGGCGCAGTCTTGAATCCATCTATCGAAACTTTGCAGTGCATAGAGAAGCATAAAATGGAATGCAGAATGAATGTCACCTATAGTACCTTGTAGGGTGAACTTGGAATGCATCGTTTGGTGCAAGCCCTCGATGATGTTATGTGCAGCATGCCGTAGTCAACCTTGAACACATTCTTGTACCTAGCACTGCCTGGCACCTGGGTATATTCTGGACACGGTGCGACAGTACAGTAAGTAGATCGCAGCATTTGTACTGCGGCGCCGCGAATGCTTCGTATCCAGGGCTGTAAAGAAATGCGACAGCGCCGGGCCACTGTCCATCGACGTGCAGTATCGTGTCAACGGAGTCCAGATGGAGCTCCAATTCTGTAAGCAACTGCAACTGGGACGAGGGAAGCGAATCGACATTGGCATCTATGGTGGCCTTTGCCCGAATCGTGATGCATATCCGCCTGGAAACCGCAGCAGGACATGTCGCAGGGAAACAAGCTGAATATGGAGTGGAGTATTCAGTAGAACCGGGAACGTGTAGTTGCACGCGTAAGCAGTTCGTGGTACTGTATGTACTGAAGTCGTCGCTCACCTGAGGCTGTTATTACTGTCCGGACTTCATCGACTGTAGGAATGTGGCATTCATCGGATTCCTCGCTACTGTACATCATCGATGAGCTTCGTAACTCCTCCTCGTCTTGAATTTTGGGTCCTATCTTGCACTCGACAGGTCCTTCACCGAGCGTAATGACCAACATGGCATCTCTTACGACTTTTACGAGGGTTGTGGAGTGAATGCAATGTCATTATATATCACGAATTACAACCTCCAGGACGAAAAGGCCCATCGCCGTTCGACCCAGTTCAACACGGAGCATATCTATAACAGCTCCTGTTGGTCACCCATCTGGGCAAATTGCAAACATATCAAATCGCCGGCTGCACACGCGTTCATCCATAGCCGCAGGTGCCGAGAAGGAAGCTCCTCCGTCATCCCATCAAATCCACCTGGGCAGGTATTGTACAGCGGGACGGCGCAGAACTTGGCTGAATCCTATGTATACGCTATAGCTACCACCTACCTCCAGCTTCTCCCACAGCGACCAATCATCAATTGTTGTGCAAAACTCGGTTGGATTCGAGGTCTTTTCGCCTGGTGCATACTTCGATCATATTTGGCCTACGACATCATCACTCTTGTACAGCGCGCGCAGGAGCGTTACTGTCCTTTCAACATCTACACTCCGGGCGGCCCTGATTCCCTGCCTGCCTGCCTGCCTGCTCTAATTTTGACCCTCTTTTCTCCCCACCTTTCTGTGACGTGGAGCAACTACGGACAACTTTAGAGAGCCTTGCGCAGCGCTACAGCACAAGTGCTACCACCACCGCCATACGTCTGACGCAATTGCCTTTCCACAGCAGCAGCCATGGATCCACAGGTACGATAGAATTCTTGCATTGCATTCACGATATCCTTCACATTGGCCAATTCCATCCTGTTGCATTCACAGCGCATTGCCGGCTTGTCGAAAGCGAGCTCCCTCTTCTTCGACCGTTCAATCGCCCCACACTTGCACTGAACATCGCTGACGGTCCTACCTGATTCACCAAAATACAGATAGGTAGCGATATGTTGGTCGACTCCGATTACGATGAGAAACAATCCTTCAATGACGACAACGACCCCGTCGCCATCATAACACCAGAGGAGGAGACCGCCATGGAGGACGACCGGGATGCACCCGTCGAGTCTGCATTGCCACTGGCAGACGATCATGAGGCTATGATCAAACGATACATGCCTGCGAGTCCCGAATGTGAAACATTGGCCGAGGCAAAATACACCTGGGACATACAAAATTGGCGACAGTTACCCAAACGGACAACAGGTCCTGTGTTTGATTGCGGCGGGAGCCCTTGGCGCGTATTATTTTTCCCTGCTGGAAATGGAGATAATGAGAATGTCTCCTTCTACCTGGAGCAGGGATTTGGAGAGGAGAAACCGCCAGAGGACTGGTATGCTTGTGCGCAGTTCATGTTGGTACTCTCCAACCCAAACGATCCCACACTCTACCTCCAACACACTGCCAATCACCGCTTCACGGCAGAAGAAGGCGATTGGGGTTTTACTCGGTTCGCCGTCAAGACGCGCATCTTTGCAGCAAATTTCGACAAACACGATCGTCCTCTAGTCGAGAATGATTGCGCGCGCATGACCGCATATGTTCGTGTCCTCAAGGATCCCACAGGAGTCCTCTGGCACAACTTTGTCAATTACGACAGCAAGAAGGAGACGGGCATGGTTGGATTACGGAATCAAGGCGCCACATGCTATTTGAACTCGCTTCTTCAATCACTATATCTCACAGGCGCATTCCGAAAGGCGATATACCAGATTCCCACGGACGACGAGGAAGAGAAAGCAGGCTCAAATTCAGCATATGCTCTGCAACGGTTATTTTATCGTCTACAAACCGACCCGGTCGCGGTCTCGACTGCTGAACTCACACACTCCTTTGGTTGGGAGAGTCGACAAATTTTCGAACAACAGGACGTGCAAGAACTCTCTCGAATTCTTATGGAGAAGATGGAGACCCGCATGAAAGGCACTGAAGCAGAGAATGCTTTACCCAACATGTTTGTGGGAAAAATGAAAACCTACCTCAAATGTATCAACGTCGAATACGAAAGCAGCCGCATTGAGGATTTCTGGGACTTGCAGCTCAACGTTTCGGGATGCAAAAGTCTCGACGACAGCTTCCGGGACTACGTGCAAGTTGAAACCTTGGAAGGGGAAAACAAATATCAGGCCGAAGGATTTGGTCTGCAAGACGCAAAGAAAGGCGTCATTTTCGAAAGCTTTCCGAACGTCCTTCACTTGCAACTGAAACGATTCGAGTACGACTTCCAACGGGACGCGATGATGAAAGTCAACGACCGATATGAATTTCCGGAAGTTTGGGATGCTTCACCTTACCTCGACGAGTCGGCGGACAAATCAGAACCATACATCTATCACCTACACGGCGTATTAGTGCACTCGGGTGATCTGAATGCTGGTCATTATTATGCATTCCTGAAGCCTGAAGAGAATGGTGACTTCTACCGTTTCGACGATGATCGAGTCACTCGGGCGACCAAACGCGAAGCTATCGACGACAACTTTGGCGGAGATTATGGAGCATCACCTGGCACAAAGGGTCAAAACCCTTACACGCGGCAATGGTCAACCAAACGGTCCAACAACGCATACATGCTGGTCTACGTCCGGGAAAGTCGAGTGAACCAAATCATTCTCCCTCTAGATGCCGTTCAACCACCTGAGCACCTCCCAAGTAGAATCGCGGAGGAGCGAGCTGCTACAGAACGTCGTCGGAAGGAGAAGGAGGAGGCTCATCTGTACATGAATGTCTTGGTCGCTTCTGAGGCGAATTTCAAATCGTACCGAGGGACCGATTTGATCCCATGGAGTCTGGACGATGTCAATGACCCGGCCGTTCCATCGCAGCACCGGGTCTTGCGAAGCACCACTGTTGCCGACTTTACTACTTATATTGCTCAACAGCAAGGCATCGATCGGGATTTGATTCGTCCTTGGATCATGGTGAATCGGCAAAATGGTACCGTGCGACCCGATCATCCACTCATGTGGGCTGATATGACCCTGCAAGAAGCATCGGACAAGTTCAGCACCCGGACTGCCAGTTTCCGAGTTTTCATAGAAGAGACACACCGCGATGCAGACGGCGTCCCGGTATGGTTGAACGATGAAGCCATCCCAGCAGCACCGACGATCGCAGGAGGTGTACCACAATCTCACAAGCCTATCATCATTTTCCTCAAGTATTTCGACGTCGATCAGCAGTCCCTCCAGGGTGTGGGTCACATTTACATGAACCAGCTGGACAAAGTGCAAGATCTCGCGACACCAATCTTGGAACTGATGGGCTGGGAAGCCGGTCAAGTCAGCATCGAGTTGTTCGAGGAGATCAAGCAGAATTACGTGGAGCCTATGAAGCCCAAACAAACTCTACTTGCATCGGAAATTCAGGATGGAGATATCATTTGCTTCCAAAGACACCTCAGCGATGAAGAAAAGGAGGCCTCACGACAGACTAACCCTACCGCGTCTCTCACCGCACCGGCTTACTATGATTACCTACTGAACCGCATTTTTGTCAACTTCACACCCAAAGTCATTCCGGTGGCTAACCTTGAATTGCAAAATGAAGCCGACGACAAATTCACCCTTGCCCTGTCGAAGAAGGATACATATGATGCTATTGTACAAAAAATTGCTGACCATCTCACTTCTGTCAATGCCACTCCTGTCGATTCTTCACATATCCGCTTGACGACGACCAATTCTCAAACAGGCAAACCGCGTACAGTCGTCAAACGCCAACAGGCCGCAACTGTGAACACCATCCTTCTCGGCACCAGCGCATACGGTGGTTACGGCTACAACAGCAACACATCCACACAGGCTCCTGACCACCTCTTCTATGAAGTCCTCGACATGAGCCTCGCCGATCTGGAGCAACGCAAGAATGTCCGCATCATCTGGCTTTCCGAAGGCATCACCAAAGAAGAGCCGATTGACATTCTCGTGCACAAACAAGCCCAATTTTCCACCGTCCAAGAGAGCCTCATCAAACGCCTCGAAGCCACCGCCACAGCTGCCGCAACCGCTGCGACCCCCAACACGCCCGATACCGCTACTGCTCCATCTCCCACGACCGCGACCTCCCAACAACCGTCCACATCTGCCATCGCCGCCACCACCAGTCCCACTCCGTTCGCCCCACCCAACATCCGCTTCTACGAAGTCCACTCCAACAAGATCTACAAAACCCTGCCCCTCACCCACGCCGTCCTCGGCGTCAACGAATTCCTCACCATCTACGCCGAACGCATTCCCGCGGACGAATACCCCTACGTGCAAGAGCAGATGCTCAAAGACCTCGGCGCCCTCGACAGCGGGAGTTCCCTCCCACCAGGAGACCGTCTCATCCACGCCTTCCACTTCGAAAAGGAGCCCACCAAACCCCACGGCGTCCCCTTCGTGTTCCTGATGAAGGCCGGCGAGGTCTTCAAGGAGACCAAGGAGAGGCTGATGAAGCGCACGGGCATCAAGGGGAAAAACTTCGAGAAGATCCGTTGGGCGGTCGTCAAGGGCGCTACCAACCCCGGGAGGACAGTCTGGATCGAAGACGGTGAGCTTTTTCTTTCTTTCTTTCTTGTGCCCCTCCCATTCGGGATTTCTGTCCTTTCCGTTCTCTCTTTATTTTTTCTCCTTTCAAATTGACGATTCATTCATGCTGACCCGAGGACAATAACAGATGACATCCTCTCCGACAAACTCCGCCCTGAAGATCAGCTCGGCCTGGAACATCCCAACCGTACGAGGAACAACTGGATCCGCTATGAGAGCTTGAATATTCGATGATTGGTCGATTTCGATCTCGATCTTCCCGTCGTCGTCGTCGGCAGAGATGACTTTGGGTGCGAAGCTAGAGGACGAGGTGATTTGGCTTTGAGAGGAGGGAGGGAGGGACGTGTGGCCGCTGGGAGAGGGAAGGTAGATGTGGGATTTGATCACGTCCGTGAAGCTATTTCGATGAAGAGCTGAGGTAGCATATTCGTGTGTGCAGGTGTGCAACGGAGCCGAACTTGCATCGCGATATGGAGAGAATATGGGGTACCGGGAAAGGGTGCATTGTTTGATGGAGAGAGAGAGAGAGAATGGGCAGAGCGTTAAGTTCCCGGTGTTCGTCCACCGAAATTACCGTACATTCGACACCATCCATGTACTGTATGTATATGTTCCGCGATGCCAGCACCACGACGGGACTTTTCCAAATCCGCCGTGATCTTCATCATCAATTTTCCGACGCGGTGGCATTTGATTGCCGGAATGTAATGATTGTACTGTACTGTAATGTACTGTACAGTACAGTACCCGGTTATGATCACGCCCATCACATTTGGGACGAGTGGACGGTGGAGACCGAGCTGAACTCCGCCCGCCCGCCGGGGTTGAATACCGTGGACCCTGCAGCAGCAGCCAGCACGACCAGCAGCTTTTAAGTCCCTCAATTGATTGATATTGTTCCAGCTCCAAAAAGATTACATTACTAGTATTCCAAGGTCCCTACGATTGTTATTCTGTAGAGCGCCGGAGAGCCATGTCCAGCCACGGACGGCAAAAGCTCCCTCCCCCCATTTCAAGCCATTCCAAACCAGACTGGTCCGAACCTTTTTGGCTTTCTCGTCGCTTACATTTCGCAAAGCTACCTACCTCTCCCTTCCCCGTCCGCTGGAGAAAAAAAAGTCCCGCCGCCGCCGTCACCGGCACGCAAAAAAGGTCCCTCTTTCGGCAATGTGAGACACTATAATTATAGAGAACCTGTCGGCCCTGTCGCCGCCGGTTGACGGGTCGGTCATGGACTGTTTCAATCCTTCTCTCCCATCATTGTTATTATTGTTATTATTACTATCATAACCAGAGTGCCACCCGTGAGAGACATTCCTTCTCGCTCACGGAACTCCGCGCTGCCCACAGACCCAGCGTCTCAAGAACAAGACATCGCGGAGAATCAAGGGTCCACTGATCTCCGTCTACAACTTTCCTGCAGGCGCATCGGCCTCGAAAAATCACCACGATCCGACACCGAGGATGGAGGACTCAACGACACCCAACAACGCCGCGCGCCCGCTCCCGATCCCGACTCACCTGGTCAACGGCCATTCCTCCCTCAATCCCAATGTCCGAGCACAGCGCGACCAAGCCGAGCGCGAAACGACCCTGGCCTCGATCAAATCCTCCATGGGCCCGCGCAAAATCCCTCTAGACCTCGACGACCTCGCACAGCCCCTCCCGCAAAGACCGCGGACCGCCTCACACTCCGACGCGACCTCCCAGGAGCGTTCTGCGAAACAGTACGAAGAGGTCAACGAGCAAGATCTCGCGGACCTCGAACAGAAAATCGCCGCCGCCGCCGCCGCCGACACCACCTCCGACCATGTCACTACCACCACCACCTCCTCCTCCGCCTCCGCCGCGGTCGCCGCCGCCGCTCCCAGCATAATCACCTCCCCCGAACAGGCGCACCCGCCCTCCCCACCGATCACCAGCCGCTCCTGCTCGCCCGTCATCTCCGCCAACCCGACCATCGACTTCGAAGGGCTGTCGTGGCCGAGCATGGGCACGCTGGCGCGGCTGCAGGAGCGCGAGAGCCCGGCCGAGGCGGCGGCGCGGCTCAAGAAGCTCACCGGCGCCGTGCGCACCCTCCTCGAGTGCATCGGCGAGGACCCGGACCGCGAGGGCCTCCACGGCACCCCCGAGCGCTACGCCAAGGCCATGATGTTCTTCACCAAGGGCTACGAGGAGAACCTCCGCGACATCGTCAACGGTGCCGTCTTCCACGAGGACCACGATGAGCTGGTCATCGTCAAGGACATCGATATCTACAGTCTGTGTGAGCACCACCTGGTGCCGTTTACGGGCAAGGTAAGCCAACGAAAGAAAACGAAAGGAAGGCAGGAAGCAAGAAGGAAAGAAAGAAAAAAAAGAAGAGAAAAGGCCGTGACAAAAAGTCCAATGGGGGAGACTTGATATACACCCCAGTTTCCGCTAACGCGTCCTCTAATTCTTCTTTCTCTTCTAGATGCACATCGGATACATCCCCAACAGCCGCGTCATCGGCCTGTCCAAGCTCGCCCGCATCGCCGAGATGTTCTCCCGCCGCCTGCAGGTGCAGGAGCGGCTGACCAAGCAAGTCGCGCTCGCCATCTCCGAGGTCCTCAAGCCCCAGGGCGTCGCGGTCGTGATGGAGAGCACGCACATGTGCATGGTGATGCGCGGCGTCCAGAAGCCCGGCGCCGTCACGACGACCAGCTGCATGCTGGGCGCGATGCGGAAGAGGGCGAAGACCCGCGAGGAGTTCCTGAGCCTGTTGGGGAGGAGATGACGGAACACTTCTCCCCCTTCCTTTTCATCACCCACTTTGGACTCTTTTTCTTTTGGAAATCGCGCGAAAGAGGAGTGGGGTTTTTCGGTTTCCATGCGGCGTATTTGGTGTTTTCTCAACAAGGGATTGAAGATCGAAAATTGTTTTTTTTTCTCGATATGAGCGAAGGCGAAGAAGGCATGGGAGAGGAATTGAAAGACGCTGTTCAACCGGCGCAATTAGCGATTGAGGATCATGATGATTTTTTGAGTAGGGAATATTTTTCCAAACAGTACTCGACATCACACTGGGCAGATCTCCCCACGGCACGACGATGACAACAGAAATCTTTCTCCAAACCACAAAGAATTCGTCCTTCGATGGACGGGATGTGTCGGGAGATATTTGTGTGAGCTGGGGAACAATTAGCAGTAGAAGATTACAAAAAGAAATTCTTTGCTTTCAAGGGCAGACTGCCTTTCACCACTGCATCTTCCAGGTGTGCATATTTCTTGTCGAATCGAGTTTCAACGAGCATTTGCGCATACTTGGGGTTATGCGATCGTCAAGCCTCCAACCTCTCAGCCAAACGGCGCCGGGGAAGGTATGTATCGTGGATGTTCCTGCTCTTTTTCTCATGCGAGAATGCCGCTTGTGCACAAGAATAATCCTGGCGGAATACAGAGCGCAGGTATGATCGTGGGCCTTTCCATTTCATTTCTTGTTCACAAACTTGCAACGACACCGTTTCACATTCCTGCCGTTGCTGTGAGTGACTTGTCGCCGGATTGTCACGCAATCCACACAACATTCCAGCTTCATACATTCTCCTCATACACGAGACGACAACGACGACAACAACAACACACATTCCGACGACAATGCAATCATGGCGATAGATCGTCTCTACTACTATGTTATAGGATTCCTCGCCGCCACCTTTCTGTGTCATTCTCATTACAACAAGTACGACGGAAACTTCCATCGGCCTCGGAATCAGTACCAAAAGAAACGCGAAAAGGCCGCCGCCGCCGCTGCTGCCGCTTCTGCAAAGACACATCACCGCCGCCTCTCTACCGAGGAGCCGGAGCTTGCGGTGAGACGTCCTCGTCATGGCTCAGGACGTGCCGATGGAGGACATTCTCACGCTCGAGTCCGCGACCCGAGACGACCCCAACGCACCATTCGGCGTCACCAACGAGACCACGACGACAGCGCCGAAGCCGACGAGTCACAAATCCCCTCCAGGACAACACGCACCGCCGATCCATCCTCCACAACTCACCATCCCACCAAACGCGTCCGTCCCACTCCCAAGAGCCCTTTTGTCCGCGAAGAGGAAATCCTCGGGCGACGCACCGACCTCTCCCCGCCGTCGCCGCTCCGACCTGTCCACTCCACCGCCGAGCGACAACGACGGGGCCGCGCACATCGAAAGCCCGTGGACTTCGCCCTACCCGATCACACCCGTCCAGGCCACAACACCCGATTCGAGAACGACGTCGCTTTCTCCCACCTCTATGGCGCGTATGACGACCAGATGCACGCTCCCTTTGAGGGAACTTGACCTGGACGGTGATCGTCACGATATGGATACAGAGGAGGACGAGGATGAGGAGAGGAGCGATGCTTGTTTTGAATTGTACGTGTCGCCTTGGAGACTTGGTGAGGGGTTTTACAGTCGACGATTGGCTGCAAGGCAAACTCGCTTGGACCTTGAAGCGCAAGATTGGTTTGCGCATGATCGGTACAACCCGCGCAAAAGGATCAAATTGGAGGACGGATATGTGACTCCGTTGACGCCAGTAGAACCGACTGGGCGAGAACGCGTGCTTCCATCCCTGCATATCCCATCACCTTCGATCTTTTCGAGCACGTCGGACCTCACTAAAATTCGACGGACGACTATCGCAAACGGAATCGAACACAGTGCGACACAAGGTCCGGATCTGTCCAAGATACAGAACCGTCGAAACCCACACGGCACACCCATTTCACCAGCGGGACTAGAGCAGATGGGCCAGCTTCGATTGACCCAAAGCGAAAAGCCTTTCAACATGATTGACGGGTTCGCCCAGGACAAGAGTCTTCTCTTCTCCCTGATAAGCGTTCTGCCGATCCCATCCCTGATCGACCTCTATGCGATTTCCAAATCTTTCTTTCGATCCTTCAACGACCACGCAACGGCGTCAATTCTCGCCTCAGCAGACACTTGGAGCCCCAACGCCAAACGCATCTTTCCCTGGCGGTGCTATTTGTCTCTTTGTATCAAGGATCCGGTCTTGCGACAGCAGTCTCGACCAAAGGATCGTCGTTCTGCTAAGAACAGTACGAGCGACTCTTCGACGAATGGAGCTAGTCTTCATGACAACATAATCGAAGAACTCATACCGACGGACGAGGAATTGATCCAGAACGCTCGCGATGTGCCGAGTCTGCGCTGGCTACAGATGGTCGCGTGGCGGCACGGCGTGGCGAAAGACATCATCGAAATGTTGCGCTCGAAAGGTGCTTTGATTAGTCTCGGGCCCGGCATCGATGTGATCAAGGTCAGCCTACACAACCTGCACAGTTTTCTGCCTACGTTTCATATAAGGATCCATGCTTACAATTAAACAGCGCTTGTGGCTCGCCATGGACCTTCCCCTGAACACCTACCGTCAAGCCCTCTTCCGCAGCAAGACCTACTTCCCCGACCACATCCTCATCCAAGCCCTCAACCTCATGATGAAAATCGATATGGCCTTCACCGACCCCAGCTACCCTCTCTTCCCAGCCAACCCGCCACCCCCGGTCGACGTCTTCGACTTCCCGCTCCCCGCTCCTCCCCAGCCCTTCAACCCGTCCATCGACCCCGACGACATCCCCGACCACGACGACCCCGTCTTCCAATTCGACAGCCTCCCCGCCCACGGCGCCTCCACCACGCCCGCCTTCCGCCAAGCGCTGCTCGGCGAAAACTCCTTCTCCCCGCTCTGGCGCGTCCTCCACAACTGGTCGCCGTGGGAAGGCCTCATCCGCAGCCGGGACTGGCACGAGCACCAATACTCCGACCCGCGCCCGCTGTCCCGCCTCGACGTCCTCAAGCTCTACGCCTGCCACAAACTGCCCAATGCCGACCTCGCCCCGTTCCTCGACCCCTCGCCCCCGCTCGACCTCCCCCCGCGGAGAGTCCGCTTCATGGGCGTCCCCCTCAGCACCATCCGCGCGAAACGCTTCGAGCGGAGCGGCCTCCAGGCCTGGGAGTCCTCCGTCGCGGCCTACGATGCGGATCGGAGACCCCGGCAGCGCGAGGGTCAGGATAATCTGAGCTTCCTGAGGGGGCCCAGGGTCTTCTCCCACGGCCGCGAGCTGGTCCCGCTCTTGTTGATCGATGAGCTGATCCTCGGGGAGCTCTTGAGACGCAGAATCCAGCTCGGTTGGTTGGTCTGGAAGGCTCTCGGGGAGGGCTATTGTCCGACGTTGAGAAGGCCGCCGCCGGGGAGGTAGGGGGTGGGAGAGATGGAGAGAGATATGGTTGGTTGGATTGGTGCAGAGGGTGAAGGGGCAGGAAGGGTTTGTTCTTCTTATTGATCTTCTTTTTGGAAGTTCTCTATCATGGAGTGAGTCGGTCGCTTGTCGAGATTTTGTCTCTTTCCTCGTCGTCGTGCGAGTTGATCTTCAAGAAACAGGGGGTCTCATGATTACGTGCTGGTTTTGGATTTTGTATGTCATCTGGAGGATTGGACGACTGCCTCGGTCACATCGGAGCCCAGTTCGTACATGCCTCTTTCTCTTCGCGCTGTGCACTGATATCACGATCTGCATCTTCCTTATGAACCACGTTTTAAACGCCCATTGTTATTTCAACGAGTTGAGATTGAAGACGAGACGCTGTGGTTATGTAAGCGGAGATTCTCATGCCTCGGGCGCATTAATTCCATGCAGCTAGTAACAGCAACAGCTGCAGCCCGACAGCTTTGTTGTCACCGCTTTTTGATTATGCGCGTATTGCAGCTCCGCCATCTCACGTGTCAAGTCATGATGGTACACATGTAACTCACGGGAAAGGGGGGTAATGTCGTTCACTACCCACAGAATCTCTCATTATTGTCCAGTCTCTCCCTCGTAGCCTCCTTACTCTCGATTGATGGAAATCCCTGCGACATTGTAAGCCTTCATGAGAAAGAACCGCAGCAGTATACTCCACTCGCTCCCTCCCGTGCGCTGGCGACAGCACAATGCCCCGAGCGCAACCCCGGACATAATAAATCCTCATGTCCTCAAAGAAGTCACCCTTCGCTCCCATGATGGCGACGGCGACGGCGACGGCGACTCCAATCATCGTCCGCGAGTACGATCCTCCCACCAACCGCCCGCTCAAACCCTCCCCGTCGACATCGTCCGATAGAAAAGCCCCTGCCCTGCCTCCCGTCTCCGCCTTCACATTCGCCTCCATCCTCCGCGCAGCCGACTGCCCCGAGTTCCAGCTCGCGGTCGACGGCATCGCCGACATCTACGCCAAGAGCAGCCTCAGCCTGGCCCACGAGCACACCGCGCACCTGCCGCCCCTCGGCGAAATCACCTCGGCCTCGACCCCCAGACGGGTCCGGCCTCCTCGTCATGCCGGTTTCCGTCTGGCCCTGTCGAGCGTCCCCGAGGCCAGCTCGGGGAGCAGTGAAGGGAGTCGCCGCAGCGGTGGAAGTCAGAGGACGATCGTCGCGAGGAACGAGAGGCGAGCCAGACGTGCTACCGCGACTTCTACTGCTACCAAGAAGAAAGTAAGCCCTCCCCGCCAGATCCAAATCGGGCGCATGGGGAGGTCGGTGAAGGTCCTGGCGACGACTGCGCTGACGGCGGAGAGTTCGATGGCGGTCATTCCTACTACCAATTCTGCCTCCGTCCCATCGACTAATCCGAGGCCAGCGAATCCTGCGCCGTCGAGAGTTCTTACCCGACCTTTGCTGGGCAATGCCATTGCCAGTCTACGTGGTTTGCTCTCGATGCGTGGGTGGTCTTCTCGAGACGGCTGAGGCGTTCTTTCGATAAATTTGATTTGGTGGAAACGAAATTATGCTCATCTATTGATCTACGAAGTGATGAAATAATACCCAAACAAGTAACAATATTCGAAATGAAATGAGAAAGGAGAGAAGGTCATCGGCTCATGATGAAGTCGCTGCTCTATGCAGTCGTACCTTCACGCCATGCTTGGGCGCCACCAGGATATGGTAGCCCTTGTCGAGATTGTTCGCTCCGGGGACGGGTTCGATACGATCGAATCGCTGCATCATCCGAGCGATCAAGTATGACAGTTCACCCATGGACAACTGCATCCCAACACAAAGTCGAGGTCCAGCGCCGCTAAAAAAGTTCATTGTCAGCTGTGATATTACCGATCAGAATTCGGGCATCGGGAGCACACTTACAACGGCGCGAAACCTTTGCCGACCTTTCGTCCCGTCCAACGATCCGGGTTGAATTCCCAAGCGTCTTCGCCCCAGATGTCACGCCGTCGATGCATGATGTAGAGATTGATCGTCGCAGCTGCCCCCTTCGGAACAGCAATCGGCTGAGTCCCATCCGGCCCGCCACCCGTCGGGAGCACGGTGTCTTGCTTCGCGGAGCGGCCAATGGCAGGCAGTAGCGGATACAGGCGCAGACACTCCTGGATGACGTTCTGCAGATCCTTGCAGGCGCGCAGATGGTCCCAAGTCAGAGGCAGTCTCGGTTCGCTCTCGGTGCCGAAGGACCGCAGGACCTCTTCCCTGACGCGCGGATACCATCCCTCGTGGACCTGCAGCCGCGCGAAGATCCAAGACGCCATCACGCCCGTCATGTTCTGCCCCGCAATCAGAATGTCGATGACGAAATCCCGAATCTTGACCGGATCGGCGCCGCGCTCGCGGACGAGATTCCCGACCAGTCCGAAGCGCACCGCCGCGGCAGCGTCGTCGACGTCGCTCTTCGCCGTGCCGTCGATAGCGCGGAGGATCAACTCGTCGATGAAAGCGTTCAGCGCGTTACACGCCTGGCGATACCGCGGCGAATCCGCCATCCACGCCTTGGACCCGAGTTTCGCGCGCCAGGACATGTACTCCCGCGCGATTTCAAACGCCTGCTCCCACATCAGGCCATACTTCTTCCGGCGCTGATGGCCCGTCCCCGCTGCTGCCGTGCCGCCGCCGCTCCTATCGCGGATCCCGTTCTCCTGCGACCCGAAGCTCGTGCCGAGGAGGTACTCGGTCGTCATGTCCAGCGCCATCCGCAGGAAGAGATCCATCAAGTCGACTTCGCGCGTCCAGCCGGCGGAGGGAGAATCCGCGGCGGCAACATCATCGCCGCCGATCGCGTCGAAGAGGAGTTGGATCGTGGCCTCGTTCGATCGCGTGTCCTTCACGCGGAACGTGCCCACGTGCTTCATCACCATCTTGCGGTTGTGCACCCAGGCCGGCCCGTCCGTCGTCCCGAGCGCCTCCGGGGCGAGCGGGTAGAGCGTCTCGGAGCGGCGCGGCGTGGGGCCCCAGTCGGCGAAATTCGTCACCATGATGGCGTGCGCGTTGGCCGGGTTCGTGGTATGGACGACTTTGGGCACGCCGTGGCCGTCGGTCAGCGCGTGCGTGTCGCTGTGCTGCGCGAATTTCTCCGGCCAGATCTCGTCGAGGATCAACGTTTCGCTTGCGCTGATCAACCGCAGTTTGTGCCAGATGGCGGAGAAGGAGCTCGTCGGGATGACTTTCAAGTCGCCGCACTGCTGCGCGTGTGCAAATTTGGCGTAGCGCTGGGCTCGAGAGCGGCGGCGCACCGCGCGCAGCGTGTACCATGATGCTACGATGATCAAGGCGATTGCTGTTATTGTCTGAAGATTGAGATGTTGTGCTGCGGAGCGGATTATGTCTTGGGTGGAAGTCGTGAGCTTTTCGATGAGAACCTCTCTCGACAGAGGCTCTCGTGATCGAGCCCAGACGGGGAGAGAAGTGGTGTTGAAAGCGAATGAAGAAATGCTCGACCTCGCTCGCTCAGCGAAAATGGGAGGAGTTGGTAGAATCAGACGCCGGCGGATGCCGACCATGGCATCTTCGATCGTCTTCTGGAAGGATGAACAGTCCGCCATGACCATCATACAGTGATGTGATCAATCTCGGTGCAAAGAAAGGATGAGGGAAAAATCAAGGAGAGCGAACTTTCCATCAATCCTTGTAATGGACCTTCTTACAGGCCATTTAGCATATAGATAAGATCTCAACTTGACTGACAAAAGAGGACAGTCCTTTCGTCGGATCCCGTGGCACGTAGGACCCGCCCGAAACTCACCGTGCAATTCAAGCCTTCGCGAGTGTGTCCCACCAAAACAAGAACTCGGACAATCCTTCAAGGAAGCCCTTAGCCAGGATGGTGACAGAATCGTGCAATTTGTCGCCACCTACAACGACCAGCAGGATCCTTCACGGATGGTATACTCATGTTCTTCGCATAGTTAGTAAACGCATCCTAGCTGCAGGTGAGATGGCCAATTGCCCTATTGTCAGCATCGCCCCGAGTGTGAGAAAGAAGGCCGAACAGCGAGACTAAAATCCTTCACTCTGATGAACTCCACACCCATGAACCATACGTAGGCCACGGAACCTGCCACATTGGGCAAACTGAACATCGACATCGCGGATATACGCTCCTGTCCTTGAAATTGCCATGGTCTCGCACATGCTGTGGCATGGATAGTGTTGCCCCCAATTTCAGGAAAGGGTCCCTTGATCGCCCGCGCGGAAGGACAGGGATCGTTGGCATGGATCAAAGTCTATTCTTCAATATAGATCGTGCCTTCTAGATGGAAGGACCACACGCTTTGGTCATCGAGTCACCACGTGGAAATCCATCACCGGAGAGCACGACGATGATTTCCCGCATCCCCACGGCTGCGAGGAGAAGAGCAAACCCATCGTCACAACGCCGTGCGCACGACTCCTGCTGACTATAAGCCTGCGGACGGCTCAGAGGGTGGCAATCTATCACTGGGCTGAGTGATGACTTTCTGCAGCTTATATTTTCGTACTTGTTTTGCGCACATCTGCATTTCCTAGTGATGAGAAGAGCAAGTCCTAGTGCTCACAGGACAGGTCGACGTTCTGCGGTGAGAATCTAGCTGCGATTGGCATAACTGAGGGCACTACCGAGCCCTAAACGGGGCCAAATCTGGGATCTGCGGAACGTCACTTGCTGCAACGTCTGAAAATACATTACAGTGTTCTCGGGCACTTGAAGTTCTTTGATCGTGTCGATTCTGGTCCCTCGAGTGCTTCTTACAGCAGGATCTGTTCTTCGAAATCACAGAGTCATCCATGCCGATTCCGAGAGAACTGGTGTATGCGCGAGGAGCTGTCTCTAGCACAGACCACAGGGACGCGGAAAAAGAAGCTTTCCCTGAAGGACAGACAGGACTAAAGTAAGATACCGAACGGCCAGGAGGACATCCTCTGTCAGCACCACTACCCGCAGAACAATTCAACGCCACAGTTAATACGACTTGATGCCACGTGAATGTCCTACGTGCATACTCAACCTTTTCCCACATTCCCCTGCCCAGACATGTCCTTTTTTCACCCCTAAGATTTCACGAGAAGGATCTGATGCTTGCAGATCCACTAATCCGGGCATGATTTGCGATCTCATGAGGCGCTTAGATGCATGAGCCTTCCAACTTCAGATGAGATCGTAGATATCTCTGAGGATGGACCCGTATGCAGGGAGACATGCATTGCTGAAGATAGCATGCACGTGCATGTGTCAGACGAAAAGAATGCATCGCCACGCGCGAATTCGATAGGAGTTCTCGATAGACAGCGAGGAGGACTCCGCTTGGCAATTCCAATCTTGGGAAACGGGGTGTGTGTCGAGCAAAAAGGTTCATGGATGGGGTAAAGTCTCGTACATTGAAATATTGTTCCTCGGTCTGATAAGACTCGAAGGGTTTGGAGCGTGCTCTGGAAGGTTTCTCCCTCTTTGATATTCCCTTTATCGTTCCTTCTTCTTTCTGCTCGTCTTTGCTCGTGTTGGCATGACCCACTCCTTCACCGACTCGATGGTGAACCCACTAGGCGAGAAACATTCTACAATGAAGACATCAGCGACGACGACAACGACGGCGACGGACGGCCCATCTTCCTCCAACGCCTCCACCACCGTCAACATGCCACTCTCTTCGTCCACCCCGTCCCAGAAGACAACCTTTATCCTCTCCTTCCTCGGCCTACTGTCCATCAACCTCGTCGCCGCGGTCGATTCCTCCGCGCTGTCCGTCTCCCTCCCCATCATCGCCGAAACCTTCCGCGCCAGCGCCCTAGAAGCCTACTGGGCAGGCACGAGTTTCGTCCTGGCCTCGGCGGTGCTAGTTGCGCTGTTTCCGGCCTTTTCGAATGCCTTTGGACGGAAGCCGGTGCTGTTGGTGGCGTTGGGGTTGTTTGTGGTCGGGACGGTGGTTGCGGGGGCGAGCGTGGATGTGCGGATGTTGCTTGCTGGACGCGCGGTGCAGGGCGCGGGGAGTGGGGGGTTGTCGGCGATGTGAGTATTCTTTTTTCCTCTTGTTTCTTTTGGATAGGATTGTGGGATTGAGGATCGTTGCGTTGGTTTCGTGTCCCATGGCTGATTTGTTCTCTCCTGCGTCATAGGACATATGTGGTCATCGCAGACCTCTTACCTTTGCATAAGCGACCAGCAGCGATGGCCGTGATCAGCCTGATCTGGTTGGTAGGCTCTGCACTCGGACCGATCCTGGGTGGAGGTTTCAGTCAATCTGCAACGTGGCGGTGGATTTTCTGGTGAGTCCCATCGCGAATATCATTCTTCGATTCAGCAGCGTATACTGACTCGGTGTTAGGATCTGCCTTCCTTTCGCAGGAATCAGCTTCATCCTCGTCTCGCTCTTCCTCAAGACGCCGCACCGCAGCTTGCACCCCAAAGCAGCAATGAAGCAGATCGACTGGTTCGGCACAGGCCTCTTCGTCGCCACGCTGACAAGTTTCCTCATCTCGCTATCCTGGGGCGGGACAATGTTCGCCTGGTCATCCTACCACACCATCGTGCCACTGGTCCTCGGCGCCTGCGGGCTACTCGTCTGGCTCGTGTACGAGAAATCCATCCCGAAAACACCCCTGCTCCCTCTCGCCGTGCTAGGAAACCTCACCCTCCTCTCAAGTTTCCTGGGGACCTTCCTCATGGGCATCGCGCAATTCGGCCTACTCTACTACCTGCCGCTCTACTACCAAGTGATCCTCGGCTACACGCCCCTCGCCGCCGGCGCCGCCCTCCTCGTGCAATGCGCCGCCGTCGGGCCCATCGCCGCCTTTTCCGGCGCATATATGACCCGGACGGGCCGATACCGCGTCTTGGCGTGGATCGGCTGGGCCTTCATGATCCTCGGCTACGGATTGCTGCAGTTGCTCGGCCCGGAGACTTCCGTGCCCGCCTGGTTCTTCATCAATCTGCCCTCGGGCGTCGGCTTGGGTTTCCTCTTCGCCAGCCTCCCCATCGCGGCCCAGGCGGCGGCGCCGCCGGAACATATGGCCATCGCGGCGGGTCTGACCCCGTTTTTCCGGAACGTGGGCCAGGCGCTCGGGATCGTGCTGGGGAACAGCGTGTTCCAGAACGTCCTGCGAGATGAATTGCAGCGGGTGTCGGAGCCGCCTTTTCTGCAGGATCATGCGGTTGAGATTGTGAATAATTCGGCGACGGTCGAGTTGCTCCGCGCTTGGTTCGCGAATCCGGAATACGGCGAACAGGCCATGCGGGATTATGTTGTTGCTTTGAGGATGATTTGGTGGACGTTGTTCGCTTGTGCGTGTGCGGGTGGGGTGCTATCGTTGGGCATGAAGCAGATTGCGCTCAAGAGGCCTGCTGCTGCTGCTACTGGGGCTGTGAATGCTGCAGAGTCTGGGAAGCTTGATGACGTGGAGTCTGGCTCGGAGAAAGCGGAGAGTGCTCACGGAACTTCGAGTGCTGCTACTCACGAGAACAGCAACGAAAGATAGATACCGGTGCAATATACTCAATGCGTCACGATTGAATGAAAACAGGCCGGCATCTCTATGAGTAGTTTCTATGCAAATCTATCTGAGCGCTGGTTAACACTTATTGATACAAATAAATGAAAATTCAGTCTGCGCAATGTCTCATCAGGGTGGACACAGATGGGAAGATACACCATCACCTCTGCCACGACCTCGTCTCTGTGAATGCAAGAACGCATACTTGCACAGTGGCATCTTCGCGCTCCTTCAAACCCTCCCTACCGCCTCCTACGACCGTGGTGCAGCATCTATCAAAGCTTCGGTATGCTGCCAGACCTCCCTGGCAACATCTTGAGACCGCAACGTCTGCAAAGTCTTGCCGCCAACGCTCGTCTCCCCTTTCCAATTGGCGAGGTAGACGCCACTACCCGAGCGACCGTCCGACCCAATTGCTGCATCGACGCGATCTGTTGAAACTCCTCTTGTGGAATTGCCTGTGCGACGAGCGTATCGTTCCGACGTCGCCAAGTAGAGATTCCGCTCCCCGCTTTCCCGGAGGTTGACGGAGAACGGCCACATGAACGGCCACATTCCATAGTTGTACAACGCCGCGATCGGTGCAGGGAAGCTGTTCGTGTAGATGTTTGTGCCGACGAGTCCGGGGTAGAGATGGATGAAGTTGAGATTTTCGTTCTCTGGGACTTGAGCCAGATGTTCCATGGAGAGTGTGGTCATCGTGACTGAATTCAAGGCACAGTTGAGGATGGAGTAGTTCCTCTTCAGGTCCAGATCGTCTCGCTTCAGGCCGTACTCGAAACCGCCTCCGAAGACGCTGACGACGCGGGAAAGTGGACTCTCCCTCAAGAGGGGCGAGAGTTGCTGGATGAAGCGCATTCGGGAATAGTAGCGTAATGCAAAGAGGTGGTCGATGTGTTCGGGAGTCTCTGTGCGATCGAAAAGTCAGCATCCTAAACGTCAGATGCATCTTCGGCATCAACCTGGCAGATGAACTCACCTCTCCGTCCCGATAACGAAATCCCACCCGGTGTCATGAAGACGAGGTCCAATGCTTTGACATCTCGCTTCAGCTCTGCGCAAGCCTTATCGACGTTCGAGATCAATGAAACATCGGCCTCGATGAACTTGAATTCGCCAGAGGGATTGATCTTGCGCAGCTCGGACAGCAACGGCGAGGCATTTGCCGCATTGCGTCCGACGATGTATGCCTTGGGTTCGTGGGCATGATGTGCTAATTGGAGGAGAGTGCTTCGCCCAATGCCGCTGGTGCCGCCGACGAATAAGGCTGTGATCCCAGGGATCCGGGACTTCAATGACCGATTGGAGGCGCGGACGATATCGAGAGCGACCATGTTGGTGTTATAGATATATGTGATGAGCAAGATAATGGATGGGTAATCATATTGAGTTCCTAGTCTTTGGCGAACAAGACATATATATACACAATGACTACAATTTCGAGCGCGGATGCTGTCTCTCCACAACATCCGGACCAGATATCTGCTCTACATTGTGCAAGGTCCTTCAGATGACGATGTGCAACTCTTGTGCAGTTTGAACAGTGATTCGGGGGTTTTCGGCGTCAGCAAGGGGCCAGCGGAGTCATTTGCCCGTGTTTGTGTGGGAGGAAACCGTGCCGCACGGAGACGCTGACGTCTGGAGTTGGCTTTCGGAGACGTCTTACGGGGCAGATGGCAAGGAACCATGGAAGCTGTACTTTTTGTGCATTGCGATGGTCAGCGCCGATCTGATGCAAATTTCCTTGTGCAAGATATGATGCTGACAATGGCACGGTATAATTAATTTGAGCAATTTATCGATGACATTGCACAACTTTGAATGTCATGATTGTGCACAAATAATGTCCTTCCTCAAGAGTGACCGGAAGGACAGGAGTCATCTATGGGATGGAACTTTAAGCAAATATGACTTTTCAAGTATGCGTAGTAGTAGTAGAACTAGTAGAGCGCTGTCCTTCGTCCCACTGTACGCGCCCATTCCAGCAGCGCATAGATTCCCAAGTTGTCCTTCGTTAATCTCTTCATTGACTCATGGCATGGACGTCATGATCAAATTATTTGTCAGTGGATCGCAGGCGACGATCGTGCCCTGCTCGGAGGCAGTCAGATCGGAGCTACGACCGATTTGCGTGAAACGCAACCTGTTCAGCAGAGGAGTGGTTCGAATCATCAACCTGGTCTCGTTAGCACCGTTTCTGGCCGGTAGGAACGCCTGACATATTTAATGGATCAAGACAACTTATCATCGGAAGGCTGCTGTCTGGTTCAATCGCAGATCCGTACTGATCATCGCTCATCGGAGACAACATGTCTGAGTCGGAATTCTGTTGTCGTGTGCCTGTGACACGACCAGCCAGTGTTAGTTGTGCCTTGGACATACCAGCTCCATGGCGGCATGAGACCGAGAAACGATCCCTATGGGCTCCCGCGGCGATGTGCTTCGGTCTCATCCGGAGATTGAACTCAGTTTCGTAACACAGCATTACAACGATCGTGAACTCGACCACACTACCCACAGATATATCATTACATCTACCAAGATGCGTCGACATTTTGAGATGGCTCCCCGCTCAAGGCAACCCTAACCTTAACACCGATACCGCCGAGGAGGTAGAGAAGCTGTTTGGTGGCACTGTTGATGGACGATTACCCCATTCGAGCTAGACATTCGAACTCACCTTCCCTGACATGTTACAGTACAACTACAGTGGAATATGTAACCTCCCGAGGTCTTCAAAAATTTGCGCTGGTGCGACGGACATCGGGAACCGCTGTAAACACATGCACGCATGATTTCGAGCGGTACTGCATCACGCATGGGAGGTGAATTGTCGCACGTTTCGTCGATTAACTGTTCGAGAAAACCCAGTTCGTCCGCTGGCTGGCGTGGGCATGTGCGCATGCGCTGTTCGTTGCGCACGGACACGACGGCCGAAGATCGTCAGTTGATGCCCTATCATCGCCGTCGGCGTCGTGGGATGGTTCCCAGCAGACACACACACACATACACACGACGGCGTGAAGTAGTAATCATGGAACGACAGAGCTCGGCGGCGGCGGCAGTAGCAGCAGCAGCAGCAGCAGCAGCAACAAAGAAGGGCACATTCCATGTCGCATCTGCTGGCTCTCGACGGTAGCAAGAGCTGACCTCCAACCGCAGGAGCAGTAGTAGTAGTAGTAGTAAAGACTCGAATGAATCTGAGTGAGCTTGGATCACATGTTTCGGCGTATGATGATGGAGGACGTGCTCTCCGCGGACAATGCGATGGAACGGAGAATTCATGACCATTCATCCTTGTCTTCTGAGTACACCTGGGTGAAATCATGCCCGAATCCATGGAAGGATGCAAACATGCAGGCGTGCTGCACGATGGGTCAGGTGTTCGGGTCAATTCTTCACTGGCGATGATAGACTTTCAGCCATTGTAGCCGCATTCAGGTATGGTTCGTTCCTGAAGTAGACCTTGGCGGGACAGTAGTGGTTATGACTCTGAAATAGCGGTATGCAGGGTGCATATCTCTCGCGCTCTCTCTCTCTCCATGCCACGAGTGTGTAGTACCTAAACATTCGATGTCAGAGCAGTGGGACATCACATTGATGTCTGCCCGACGAAGACTTCAACTGCTCTTTCGCTCGTGTTGGTAGACGAGCTCACCTCCAATGCCCGAGCGTCGCTTCACCTTTCTCCTCGCACCGCACACTATGACGAGGGGTGCATCAGTCCCGTGGTGTCCTGCGCAGAATATGCGCCTGTGTGTGTGGGATGGAAATGAGATGCGTTGGATGCAGGGACATTTTTCTACAGTCCAGATGTACACACAGACGCCCCCGCTCCGACCATCGCCCATCATCACCACTGCATATCGCTAGTGAATGATGGCATCTCGCACTGCCCAACGGCCGCCAAATGGAAAAGAAACACGATCATGCAAATCATTCCTCGCCCATCAACGTGGTTTTGTGAGGACAATGTCCCGCACCACCAGACCGTTGACGCCAGCCGCTGTGTTCTTTCCTGAACCGGTGATGGTCCGACGAGTCGACGACGGTGGACTGTTTGGAGCGTTGTCGTTACCTGAGCGACAGCCAAAGCACGACCCTACCTAGTTATATGTGTGTCGGCCGCTGGAGTGGAACAAGCACACACAGCACCACAACTACCTATGGATGCATTGCAATTACCTGAGAATGCGACACATGCAAATTGTGACTGCTACGGATTGAAGGACATAGACGTGAGATGGTCGTTTCTACTCGCCATCGCTGCTGCTGGAATAGTCAGGTTGATATGGCATGCGACGCTGATTCAAGTGGTCGTCGCCGGAGAGAGAAGCGGGCTAAAACCTTGCTGTAGTGTGGTCGTCTCGTTTCCTCGTTTGCCCAATTCCACCACCACCACCATCACCGCCAGTGCACGCAGCGGCAGCATCACCACCACCACCACTTCGACCAACTAGACTACTGCTGCACATACCCTCCACCTCGTCGACTCAAACCTACACTGGACACACATCTTTAGTCTGAACGTACCGGCCAGCGCTTTGTGGACTTTGCCGAACTTGGCTCCATCGTTGTATCTACTACTTACTCCTCCATCGTTTCCCATTCCTCTCCCAAACTTTTCTCTCTACCATATTTTTGCTTCTCTCACGCTATCTGAGAGATTTTCACGACAAGCTACGCCGTCATCACCGACTGCAGCATTTGGGACGAGATCGTTGAGCGCGCCGGGTATCTTGACTGATTCCTCCGGTACACGACTGTTCACACCAATTCTCTCTTGCACCTGATCGTCCTCGGACGAAGCACCTCTCCACCTTCGCAGATCGAGCATCTCGTCTAGTCCATCGTCTGACCAGATTGCAGCTATGGGCGCCACTCTGTCAACCATGTTGGGCGCTGTGCCAAAGGGCAAGCTCGATGCCATCAAGAAGAAGCTACAGGAGAGCGAGGACTTGATGAAGAGCAAGGCCAGGGAGCTTGTCGAGACTAAAGCCGATCACGATCATGTGACGGAAGAGGTCAAGACGCTGCGGGACAAGCTTAACCAGCTCGAGAGTCAGCAACAGTCCCTCAAGGCACATGACTCAGACAGCCAAGCCAAGCTCGATGCCATCATCGCTGAGCGTGACCAAACCAAGACCGAGCTCAAGGCCGCTCAGGACAAGCTCGCAGATCTGCAGGCTAGCCACCAAAAGGTCACTGACGAGCTCGCCGCTGTCAAGAAGGAAGCCGCGGCCGCGAAGGAGCAGTTCACGACCCTCGAGACTTCCCTCAAGACCGAATTGGCAAACCTTCACAAGACTGAAGGCGACAGCTCGAAGCGCGCCGCCGCATTGACCGAGGCACTGGACTCTCTCAAGAAGCAGTCGAGCGAGCAGATCACTGCCGCTCAGAAGAGCTTGGCGGAAATTCAAGAAAAGTACCGTGTTCTCGACCAGTCTCACGCCGATCTTAGCAAGACGTCCAAGGAGAACGCCGAGGCTGCCGAAAAGGCCATCAACGAGGGCCACGCGAAGGCAACCTCGTTGCAGAACGAGCTCGAGGTGTTGAAGAAGGATGGTGACACAAAGCTTGCCGCCGGCGCCGCAGCTCTGGCTGCCTTGACTGAGAAGAGCAAGGCAACTGACGCCGAGCACACCAAGCTCTCCACTGATCTCCAATCCAAGCTTGCCGCTGCACAAAAGGACCTGGCCGACTCCATCGCTAGCTCGAAGAGTGTCGAACACGATCGCGATGCACTCAAGACCGAGCTACACGACAAGCTTGCTTCTGCCGAGAAGACTATTGCCGAATCCCAAAGCAAGCTCGCCGCCCTTCAGACGAGCTTCACGGAGCTTCAACAAACCTCCGATGCCACTCTGTTGTCAGCGCAGAAGGATTTGACCACCGCTCAGCAACACTCTGCCTCGCTCCAAGAGGCAATGGACAAGGTCAAGGCTGAAGCAGCTGCCCAACATGAAGCCGTCAAGGCTCAATTGGCTGCTGCGGAGGAGAAGTACAACGCCCTTCACGCGACTTACGAGACCGCGCAAAAGGACTTGGCTGCCAAGACCGAGAGCGCTACGAGCGAGATCAAGAAGGAGCACCAGGAGAACCTAGAGAAGCTGAAGGCGCTCGCGGCCGACCGCGATGAGATCAAGCAAAAGGCTGAGGCAAGTGTCGCCGAGTTGACCACCCTTCGCAAGACCCACGAAGACGTCGTCTCGAAATCCGCCGCCAAAGAGAAGGAGCTCGAGGAGGCGACCAAATCCTCCAGCACGCTCAAATCGCAACTTGAAGAGCTCACTGCCTCCCTCACCAAGGAGAAGGAGTCCTCCAAGAAAGCCCAAGACGACCTCACCGCCGCCCACAACTCCGCTCTCGCCTCCATCAAATCCGAACTGGAAACCGCCAAATCTGACGCGGCGAAAGCATCCAGCGACCTCACCGCCACCTACGAAGCCAAAATCGCCGACCTCAACGTCAAGGCCACATCGGAGAAGGCTGCCCTGGAGAAGACCGCCACCGCCGCTGCCACCGACCTCCGAACCGAACTCGCCTCCTTCCAAGCTAAACTCACCTCGGAACAGGCCGAGCACAAGAAAACCCATGACCTCTTCAGCGTCAAGCTCGCCGAGTCCCAGGCCGACGTCGCTCGCCTTAACGAGGAGAAGAAGGCCGCCCAGGAGGCTTTCGACGCCCAGCTCGCTAAGATCGACAAGGCCGTCGGCGGTGGTGACGACGCTGCACCTGCGCCTGCTGCGGCCGAACCTGTTGCTGCCGAGGAGAAGACCGAGGCCGCTCCTGCAGCTGCGTGAGCTTGATCACTCACCTTGCCTGCTGATCCTTGTTCCGTCCTGAACCAATAGAGGACCTTGGAAGAGGAAACGAAAAGTTGTGCTTTCCAGAGCGAAGCGAAGCGAGCATTATTTGCATTTGATTCTCCCCTTGGCATTGCGGTTGATGTTGTTGTTTTACGAATTCCCTGCTGTTGTTGTTTCAATGATGACGATGATGTTATTTTACGAGTTTTGTTTGTCATTGTGGCTCACTCACCCCCTATGACGATCACGATACAAGAAGAAGAACGGACGAGAAGGAGAGAGAAAGCCCGGAAAACAGGAAACAAGCGAGGCGAACCTCAGATGGAGCCACAGAACTCGTCTTTCATTCCTAAGGATCGAAATCCCTGAGAAGCGTCGGAGGGGATTTCACCGGAGAATGGACGTTTCGCCTGGACACCGGTTCGATGTTTTTATATGACCTTAATACGATGTTAATGATACCCCCCTCACTCTACTCACCTCTTCCTTCCCTTTCACTTGTCATCGTATTCTGTCATCTTGATTTCATTGAGGTTTCGGCCGGTATTGAATGCTTGCATCCGGGACTTTCGTCCGCTGTGACGTATGGATTGTCTCTCGTCTCTGCATGAATTCTTTGCTCGAATTGGTCTCCCAGGCGCTGAGTGAAGCTTACTCGGACCGTCATCGTATGCAACGAGATGAGAAGTTTAAAAAAAAAAGAGAAAATCGTGGACTACCGAGCGTGATTTGTTGACAATGGCTCTCGAAATTATTTGCATTGAGTGAAGTGGTAATACCCCGGGTACACACTAGTACAGTAATTCCAAGCCCCTTCGCAAAATATCGTCGGCGACCAGGTATAAATAAGTGAGGAAAAAGACAGAGTCCAGCCAAGCAACGCATTCAATAAGAGCAAACGGTGGGAAGATCGATCGGGGAGTTCCGAGCGGTGTCGCCACTCTTCAATTGACAATCCGGAACGGCGCAAGACGTGGGAATGAATGCAGGACGCCGCAAAAAAAGACATAAGCGACCCACCCGTGCCACCTCACCCGTACAGGAGAGGATCTTCACAGTGAGAAATCATCGTCGTGCAGCCGGGCAATTTCGACTTTCATGTTCTTACATGATGCATCACAACTATCCCATCACTGCCATCTTTGGCCCGCTTTGACAGTACAATCTCAATCGTGAAGATCGCGCAGTTTATCTACACCTGAGTGGACGTTCGGTAATGAGCAAGTTCGTAACCATCCCGTCGACATGGATCGGTCTCCTCATGATGGCGAGTTGTCCTGAGAGCTTTTCGAGGATCGCGTTACTCAAACCTGGACGTGCCACTGATATCTGTCTGCAACAGGAGTCGAGTCAACGCATCAGGGAAATGGTGTTATCATCTCATGGGACGGACCGAGCGATCCTGATAATCCGTTCAACTGGTCCTCGAAACGAAAAATCTGGGCTGTTGGTATAGGTCTACTCATCAGCTTTGTATCGGCATGCAATGGTACTCTGCTCTCGGTGGCTCACAACGAGATCAACAGCGATTTTGGTGTCTCGGACGAGCACTTCCCACACTCGTACTGGCCCACTGCATCATGGGGTGTGGGTGGCGCGATATTCCCACTGCTTCTGTTTCCGATCATGGAGGATTTCGGTGTCCGACGAGTTCTGATTGGCACCTATTCGTTCTTCGTCCTGATGCTCATCCCGGTAGGCGTTGCGCCCAACTTTGCGACCCTCATCGTCACCCGCTTCTTCACCGGAGGCTGTGTGCAGCTTCTCAGCAACGCGGTCGCAAGCATCATCTCCAACGTTTTCCGCGACGACAACGAGAGAAGCCTACCGATCTGCCTCTATGTCACCGTGTACTTGACCTCCACAAGTATCGGCCCCGTCATCGGCGCGAGCATACTCGAGCATCTTGGTTGGCGATGGATCGGATTCATCGAGCTGATCTGGACAGCGTGCTTGCTCCCGGTCTTTGCCATCGCCTTGCCAGAGAGCCGTGGGTCGGTCATTCTTCAAAAGCGCGCGCAGACCTGGCGACGGCAAGGGCAGACGGTGCACACGGCAGCAGAGTCACGCCGCACTAGCCTCGGACAAGTCCTCGCGAGCAGCGTCTACAGGCCTCTATATATGCTCTTCACTGAGCCAGTCGCGATTTTCGCCTCTCTATGGGCAGCCTTCAGCCTGGGGACGATCTACATGTTCACGCAGTCAGCCGAGCAAGTCTTCGGAGCTCTCTACCAGTGGACGGCGATTCAATCAAGCTACATCCAGGCCGCAATCGTCCTGGGCGAGTTATTCGGCTGCGGACTGTGCGCCTACTCAAATAAATGGTATTATGCTTCCGCAGATCGGAACAAAGAGACCCCCGGTTTACCCATTCCAGAAGCTCGCCTGTACCCTGCAATCATCGGAAGCGTTTTCGGCGTGACAGGTGGTATGCTCGTGTACGGCTGGACACCTCTCAACTCAGCATCGTGGGTCGCTCCTGCCTTCGGCTTGGGCATGGTTGGTCTGGGAACAACCACGGTCATCGTGGGCAACGCGAATTACCTGATCGACGCGTACAGCCATTACGCCGCGAGTGCCCTCGGCGCCGTGGGCCTGGTGGAGAACCTCGCAATCGCCTTCCTCCCTCTGGCCACGACGGCCATGTACAGTAACCTGGGTTTCGGATGGGCAAGCACCCTTCTGGCGCTTTCCTCCCTTCTGCTTGCTTCGGCTCCCATCGCACTGCTGGCCTTTGGGCCCAGAGTGAGAGCCTCCAGCCCCTTCATGCGTGATTCTGCGGCGGAGAAGCTTGCTCTTATGACTTTTGCTCAGGCTGCAGAAGGTCATGTGTGCGAAAATCGTGAACAGTGTAAAGCATAGAGAGTAATGACAGCGGCACGGCTGTAAATTGAGTGAGGCCGATAGGATGGGGCTCAACCTTTCACGGTTGGCTTGATCGAGATTTATGTGTCCGCGTGTGGTCATGACTTGTCGACGACATCGATCTGAGAGATTTATGCAGATCTCCATCGCTTGGCTGTCGCAGAATCTGCATTGAGTCATTGTCCTTCGCTAACGTCCCTCCCGGCGTCGCGAGCCACCCTATGTAACGAGCCAGCATTGGACACTTTGATCGATAATACTCTTCAACACCGATATGAATTTGCTTTGCTGTATCTACACTGTAGGTTAGGATGTTACCCTTCGATCGACCGCTCTACATCGAAATCGGGTGAGTGTTGCAGTCGCTGTGATCGATTCCTTCCTCGTGTAAAATCCTAGTCATCTCGTGAATCGCTACGTGTGAGTGTATTTCTGATCAGCTCGCAGCGTTGCTCGGCTCGGCGGGCTGCGGAGAGTCCGCTCTATTGCTGCCTTCAGCATCGTTTTGTCT